GCTGAGGCATGCTGAGCAGCTGGCACTTACGATATAATAAATACAAGCTTTTAGATACAAGCGGTTTAAGTGGGTGGTCGCCACAAACGACAGAGTGGAATTGTTTCGAAGCTAAAAACTAAAATATAAAAGATGACTTAAATCATTTCCAGTACCAAAATAATGCGACAACGTTCCGCCAATATTCTAAGTAAGAAACTGGTTGTCCATGGGTGTCACAATAGAAGGCACCGTCTGTATTCCGTGTTCTTACTATTATTATTATTTATAGCAACAATGACTTATACGAGCGTCACACTGAGAACTTTTTAACGGGTACCGCACTGGCGACAATCTAATTATAATTGAAAAAATGTTGGAAACCTATATTATAACCTCTAATATTCACTCTTTCTAGATGTTTGGTCAAGCGAGGGAGACATTGGAATATCCGAATAATATTGATATTATATTTTAGCACATCGCCGCCTATTACACGTAGCGTTTATGCAAATATTTAAAGGAAAAGTTAATAATTATTTATTAAGAATGGATTTCTAATAAGATCCGTTGTTCTTAAAGTCGGAAATTCGAATTCCTAAAATGGGCTCAGGAGACAACGACGAATATCATAACTAGCGTTCACTTAGCATGCTAAAAATTATGTTTTTTCCAAACTTTAAATGCTGCTAAATCTCTAGCTGTACCACTTGTACTTGTACTTCCCATACATAGTCACCCAACGTTATTGTGTCCCACACCGTCAGAGCTCTAATAACTGATGGAACAATCACAACGGTGACCCCAGACCCAAGCACCTCGTCTATATCTGTCGTATATATGAACGTCGAGATCTTTGACCTGATCCCCAGATTGCAAGACCGATCTATTTTCTTGGGCACCGTACTGCTAAGCCGTATTCTCTGTAACCTTACGAAGAAGAACGATTCTCATTGACATGTCCGTGTCATCCAAACGTTTGCAGAATGTTCGTATACTAATTGTATTGAATTAAAAAGATTAGCTTCGATATAGATCAGGCATAAATGTTACAAATCGAAAAGCTCAAGATAATGCGTTCCGCTTCGCAAAGGGGAAAACGGAGAATCAGGGATTTGTATGCCTAGTATATTTAATATATATATAGTTAGAGCGTGTAAACATCAGTTTGTTCAGGTCTTCAAATCGGCAGATATGCGTAACGTTGCGTTATTAGTTTATCTTTCTTCATTTGACAGACCTTTGGTACGTAGCGTTCGGGCCGAATATCTGCTCGTCTGTGCTCGACCCCTAATGATCGTGTTGAAGATTAGGAGGTTAGAGATACAAATGAAGCGGCTTACAACATTCCTGGTTTACAATTATAGGTTTTCTTTACATGGCTAATTTTATTGCGGACTCGATGGGCAAACTGGTCGTGTCTTCCTTGGGCGAGCCATTTGACGCGGATTCCAGCCATAGGATGTCGGCGTGTGTGCGGTTCAACTCATACGATATAGATAAAAGAAATCGAAGTACATTTTGGCCTATACAAATCGGGGAATTCTGATTAACAACGAAACGTTTTTACTTCCATTGCCAACTCGTAATTTGAAGCAATGAATACATATAACTAAGCAATCACTTGATGTCCGCACTGTACTGTTGCATTGATAAATAACAGTAAATCAACTTAAAGATCTACCTTTACATAAGCATGTCTATACATAGAAACCTTTTCAAGTTATCACATGTTGCAGGGCCATAGTGGAGAACATTGCACTTACCTGTTCTAAATGGAGACAGAGCTGATGGATGAAAACGAGCCAGTTTCTTATCGCACTTGCGAAAAATAGATACACGATACGAAAGATACGTTCATTTGTGCTCGAAAGGTTATCTTGTACTCAAAAAGCAGTCAGTCAATGCAAAAGCTGTTTGATTCGCTGCTTTTATTAATAAATGAATGAAAAGATAAATGAATATACTAATGAACTTGTGCTGCACGGACCAGTGTGCTGGTGGGTTTATGCGTGACGAGGTTCCGTATCTGTTCCACAATGTTCGGCAAAATGACGATTAGAAATACCTTGTTAGATACATTGAGCCGATTGAACGGCTCGTATCAACAGCTGAAAATCTACATCCTGGAAATCAGTTCGGCCAGAACAGTCGCTCAGCTCAAAACGGTTTGCTTCATTGATGAAAAGCTTCGATGGTTGAACGCTGCTGCGTTCAGTTCAGTTGTCACGATGTCAAGAACTTTCACCGATACCCCTTCTTGCCGCAGTGTGAGGTAGTCCCCTTAGTATCTAAAAAAGTGCGGGAATCATATTTAGGCTTGAACTAGTTTTCAATAGGCGTTGGTTTCCATGGGGGCTAAAGTGTTCCCTTTATAACACAAACACCTTTTTCGGGCACTGCGTTTCGTCGAGCTATCACTGGCATGAGGGGCAGAGATGATTACCGTTCGTACTACAATAATACGTACACTTTGTGTACAACTGCGCATTTTAACTATCGTTGAGACGCTGACACACGCGATGATGGCGGTTGGTTTGAGACCCACTATCGAGTTAGCAGTACCATAGGCAACAGCAGAAGCTGTTGCCTAAGGTCCACGATTATACATTTGCAGAATTCGCTGCCATCTTCCTTGAAGGGATTCGAAAGCAGGACACCAAATTGTACAAAGTGGTGTTAGTAATAGTTAAATTATTAGCGTATCAAAATAAGCTTTTTTGAAAATAAAAACACTACACCGTGTCCAGAGCGTTTGGTCAAATATACTTGTCGAATGCAGAATGCGAGAGCACTCTCCACGTAAGTACTGATTATGAGCATATACTTTGTAACGTGTCATGGACAAAATTTATTTATAGCTATTTTATAAATTTTATATTACTAAGGAGTGCAAAGTCCCAAGGTTACGAATACAGATTCTATACTGATTAACTATTGACGTTTCCCTAGTCGGAACGAAGACATGCAGGCTAAGGGTAAACGTGCTTAGGAAATTCACTAAACGAACGGAAGATTCCGTGACGAGAAGGAGCATACTTTTTTTTGGTTTGTTTTGTTGGTTTTCAACGGCTCAACTTACTTGCAATCGAGCAACTAACTTGGCACATGTATCAATGAATTTTAATCCCAATAGTTATCTAAAAATCTGCGCCTTATTAAACAAATTGTTCTACACAGTAGTACAATTCGTATTAACTGATTCAGTAATATTATGCTAAATTTAAAAAAAAATATTGCGCTTTTTAGGCAATTATTTTCGTTAAAATAACATTTACAGGAACAAATTTTTTTTAATTTTAACACCACTTCGTTGACGATGGTTAAGGCTCTGTATAATATTTTTCGGTAATAGAACCGTGGAAACGACACGCTCTCGAATAGAGAAGCAATTAGATGAGTCGGCCTTGTCATTGACGCACTTGTGGATGTCCACTTGTTAAGCCTTAGCGGTAAATTGTAAGTTCGAAACTACGACAATTGTAACTTTCACTCATTGATTGTTCTGGATGATCGCAAGTTGATGCAATCGACTAGAAACTGTTATTGTTCCAAGTGAAGGTTCCAATTAGCTTGTTTCGTAGTTTTTAAAAAAAAGTATATAGCTCATGTGAGTCAGACCTCTTTATGAGCCATGTTCTGAAAAAGCACACGAATGAACAGACGGCGATTGATCCATCAGTGTTACAAAGACTACTCGTAAATGGGATCAAAGCATATGCTCATTCAAAGAGCAAGCAATGCTTAAGAAATCAGAAAAAACGCAAAGACATAAGCTTGCAATTTTCCGTTCGTCTACTTATGATCATTCGTATCGCTGTCATAACAATACAGACATTCAACACTATATTACTATATCCTGGAGATTATATAATAAAGTATGAGAAAAAAATAGCACACGATAACAAGGAACAGCATCGATATCGATTTACTTTTTTCGTCATAAACACTAAGCCCAATATTTTGACGTCGTCATTTTGGCCAAGGGTCTCTAAAAACTTGTATTACTTGTGTCATCTAAAACAGAATAGTGATCAAATTTAGCATAAGGAAACCATTTGTAGCACAACGGCCTAAGGCACAACCAGCCTTCACTGGAATCACCTTCCAATCAAGGGCGCTTCTTTATATTCTTATAGCAAAAGGTAGTGAAAGCCTCACAGATGTGTCTTAAACTTGCCACTGCTTATGAAAGTAATAAATGGACCCCGCAGCAAAGGCTTACGATGTACAGACATGACTGAATGAGTGAAGCGAGCAACTCCAGTATGTCTGTAATTGACTATATTTAGGCGCTAATAAAATACATGAACACTCGTTATGGAAAGGATATTTCCTGTAGCTAACGTATCCTTATGTTGAACGACTCACTCCTTTAATAACACAAATTTCGCGTGTAATTCTAATATGGTGCAGTGTTTTTGATCGGCTCAATTGGGAAGTATTGGTAGGAGACATTTCATTCCCGTCAAGGACAGCTTCGAAATACTACTTGGCCCCTAGCGCCTAAACAGTAGGAAACGTACGGCAACACGCGAATCATCGTCTCGTAAATTATAGGGTATTCTGTATTTCGTAAAAGTTTGCTACCTCACTCGATTCAACTCATGGATTTACCCATAATTGGTGACGCGTCGTTACCAATACAGTACGATGACATACGCAACATGATAACTAAAAGGAAAGATACAAGAAAAGCACCGCTGAGAAGACGTAACTTTATTGACACTATAGCTGGTGGTTGACTTATCGTAAGACCCAAGAAGCAATGAACATTCTTTGATATGAGACTCTAAAAAAGAGAAGTACCCTTTCGTTCGTTGAATCTCAATTCTCGTATTATACGCCCACACAAACAGACACACATGGCGCTCGTAGAAACTCGACGACTATTAAATTGGCTGATAGATAGCATATGTAAATAGCCCCTTGACCCTTTGTGCCTAGGGGATGGAAAGTAGGCGACTGTTGTCTTAGCTGGAGATGCACTTCCTTCTCTGTACTTTGGTTCTTTATCTATCTCACGTAGTAGCTGTCTCGAGTCCGCTATGTATCTCGTTGAATCGAGCTGACCCCTCGATAAATGACCAACCGCTGTCTCTAGTGCGCGTGTAACGATCACATCCACTGAGGTCTCTTGAGGCTTAGCAAAAAATTGAATAGTGCCTGCAACACGAAGCTGCAGTAGCTGAGGCAGGGAAAAGATCGAAACGGTTCAGTGTACCCATCTCGGTGTTAAAGTTGACCCATTCGCTGAATGGTGCCGCGTACCGACCAAGAGCTCTGTGAAGTAAAGCTGAGATAGAGTGAATCAATCTATTAGTCTTCGAGAGACGGTTAATTGTGACTAATTACTTGAAATGGTTTTGGATTCGTGGCGCCGTCCATCAGGAGGCAATATGACATGGTTCAATATGAAACATTACCTTCTGTTATCATTTCTTACATTTAAATTTCTGGACTGGAGTCGCGCTACCTCGTTGCCGCTTTGGGATCTTTTGTCATATATCTTGGTATTGGGAGCGAGCTACTGGCTGGGATTCGTAACGTATCGATACTTGAAGCGATATAATCTCGCTTTTCAAGTCGCTAGTTATAAGAAGGCCATAGTAATTACTGGTATTGTATTAATTATTTTTCTAATTTATACAATTTCTGTTCTTTTTTATTCTAAGAAATAATTTAAGATTTTTGTTAATCTGTGGACTGTTCAAATGGATGGTAGTAGATAACCTTAAATTAGAACCAACGACCGTAAGACACCTATGAGATATTGCTATTGATTTTGCCAGTCGCTAAATAATTATGGGACGCTTCATTAAATCTGGTATCAATATGTTATTGCACGGTTAGAGTTATGGGACTAGAACATACCTGGGATAGCGCATTAAACTGTGCTGATGGACCTTCGCAGGTTGTGACACAGGATTTGGAAATATGCTCGCCCGCAGATTGGCACCCCGTGGCTTTCAGGTAAATTTGGTAGTTGTTAGCATTATGCCAATGTAAATTTGGTGCCGTTGAGCGATGTTTCTCTGAATATTGTTAATACGCATATGCTCAATAGCATATCTTTTTATCGCACGCTGAATTTCGTTCCATGTTAACAGGACAGCTTTTTCAGCAAACCACATAGGTTGATCCAAGCGCAAACGACAAGAAGTTACATATTTTATCCACTAATGTTCGAAACATTCCAAAAAAAACACGTTTATATCCGTGGCTTGAAAGCGTATTTTCAAACGCCAAAGAAAGACTTTATCACGAACATGCTGCAGTGCACAAGATCGTAAATTAAGTCAATAGCCACTGCGTAGCATCTAAAACAACTGATTGTGTGCATTAAACCCTATCTAGGTTTTGGCGGGCTGTCTGAATCCTTCAGCTCCCGAAGCAACAATACTAGAGACGGTGCCCAATGTCAGCGTTTTTCCTCTTGACGTCACAAGTGAGGGAAGCCTTCGTGAGGCTTTAGACATCGTTTCTACGAAGCTCAAGGAATCTGGACACGGTAGTTATTTTTTCTTATAAGCACAACTTTCCATCTAACAATATTGTCGGGCTTTGTGTGGTGTGCTGTGGCAAATGTCGAAAATAAACGTTATCTGTCTCCAAATGAAAAGACTTCATGTCGTGGTTCCCCCCAGAAGCGGATGACATCTGTGCAACATCTGTTTGCCGTTAATAAAAAGATTTGTCGCTCCATAACAGCCGGAACGAACTTCTGGCCTTTTCTTTTACGACGACCAGCTTTCTTCGTAAGGGTCAGAATACATCAGTTTGATAGTGTGTGCGTATACGTCGCACCTGCTAGGAGAAGTGTCACCTTAAATCCCCAATTTTATCTTACATATTGCTTGCTTGTTGTTTTTTGTAGATTTGTGGTGTGTAGTTTGCAATGCCGGCATCTGTGAAGTCGGCGAACTTGAATGGCAGAGTATAATGTCCATCGAGCGAACTCTTGACGTCAACGTCATGGGCTCTATTCGAACTATCCGGACATTTTTGCCGACTCTTCGAGCCTCAAAGGGACGAATTGTTCTTTGTGCTAGTGTTCTGAGTAAGTGAAATCATCCCAATTAGACGACGAAACATTACAATAAAATACTACACCTGCCGCAGTAGCGAGACCGCTACCAAGTCGTTTTCTCCGTGATGAACTTAGTTCTGCTTTTTTTTTTTAACATACTATTACTAACGTGTTATTCCTATTAAGCGATAATTATTTGGTAATAAAGCAGATACTGAATTTCCGCACCGGACGATCATTCCTATTCTAGTCTATTCTTCCGCCCCTTAGATATAACAGCGGTTCCTTGATTAGGGTACAAAGCTAGTGGCAAAGTAACAAAAAAAGCTGTTGCCTCAAGTAGAATTGACCAATTACAAGTAAAGGCGTTCGTGGAAAGTTTATAATGCTGTACGTTGATGATTCGTAGGCAACATTTCCAGCCCTGGATTCGTTGCGTACTCAATGAGCAAAGCGGCGATAGCTTCTCTGGGAGAGGGACTCAAACGTGAACTGCAGGATTGGGATGTTAACGTTTGTACAGTTCAACCCGCGCTGTACAAGTGAGTTATTATTATTAAATAGAACTGTAAGCCTCTTTCAGCTGCTTCATCAGCTTTACCTTGGGATTCTGTTATATGTTCTGTGGGCATGAGTATCTGCTTGCCTTAAACATATTGTGCAGGGTGGCGCGTCAAAATTTAAAATGCCTTATTTTTAAGACTGTATTTAAAGAAAAATACATATTTCAACGATTTTTTTTGCATGTTATATATGTATTATTCCCGTCATGCTCATTCAATATAGCAACCACTCACCACCATTACAGCCTCAATCAATGAGTCATTCCGTCTTTAATCCAAAGATAACCTTTTACTAGTGAGTGTGCGTCAAGTAGGTATAAACTCGTTAAAGTGTTGCTCAAATATCCTACATACAAAAAAATCAAGAAAAAAAATTGACCGGTAGGCCAATGTGTCGCAAAAATACAAAAGCTCAAAACAGCTAGAGGCTCCCAAAGAACTAGCCGTTGGGCTTTATCTGAACGACTCAGTTGGCGACTGATGTTCTTTTCCTTGAAACAGGCGTAAATTTCTGTATCTAAAGCCTAGATGTATCAAAGAAAAGTTGTTGAGTCAGTTCGCCTTATGGAAGTCTTCTTCGCATTTTTCAGAAGCCCCATGAAAACTGACGAAATTTACGGCATCAATTTTCAGCAAAAAATGAAATTCTTACTCTTGATGAGGGTTCGTCCAGCGCTGGAAAATTAGATAATAACTGATCTTCGTTTAAATCTTGAAACGGCGCATCATTATTTCCCATAACACGTCGACTGTTTTGCTCTACAGAGAACTAGCTTTCGTCTTCAACCAAAACTAACAGGTAGGCGCATAATTGTTACGAGAAACGGTCCACCAAAGTGTTTCCCAACTTAAAAACAGCATTTTGTATGTACACTGATTTTGCACTCCTAACTACATCACTTCTTCATTTTTGAGTCGTTCTTTACTCAAGAAGAAACAGCTGGTCCACAAGCTGGTCTGAAATAGAATTTGGATGGTACCAAGAAGAGGACAATGACTTTATGTATGTACTGAGCTTGGCTTAGAACTTAATTCGTGCAGCGATGAGGATCGTCTCTAATTTGTAGATTACTAACCGGAACCGCTCTCTTGTTTAACCTATGGATGTGCATTCAGACTTACTAGAATGTGAATTTTTATTGGTTATAGTTATGGTTTTAGCAGCTTAATGGTGCGAAAAATGCTTTTAAAAAGTTCTTGTTCCTGAAAATGTTTCATTCGCCGCTCCTTTAGATGAGATGACAGTTAATAAGAATCGTTGTCATCACATGATAAGACTTACGACTTTGACCGCTCTACCTCTTGAAAATCACATTTTTGCAAAGGAGAATTAAATGGTAAAGAAAGTCAATGAACCACTGTAATTTTCTAAAAAAATACAACTCTCAAAATGACCCAGACCAACAAAAAAAAAACAGCTTTTTACTTGTATTTTTATCACCCCCATACACTATTGTACGATACGACTGCATGAGGGTACGCTTGACGTTATTTTCGTTGCTGACTACATGGTGCATGTTATTGGCATTGCTTGTGGCGGTAATGGCAATTCGAAAACAGGCGGAATTGGGCAGAGATTCTAACGTTCATCCGCACGGCAGAACCGGGCTTCTCCGTTTCGACCAAGTGAAGAACGACTTCTTCAGTGCCCAATTGAACATGCTTTCCGAACATGTTCGTAGTGACTACGGACACGAGTACTTCATTGCCTTCTGGAACACAATTGCCAAGTTCTTCGAGAAGCACGCCAACCCATATCCCGAACAGGTTTGTCTAGTGTGAACGATATTTGCTGCAACAAATGCTAAGTTTTCTATCCAAATAAGTTATCATCACAGAATTTCTTGTATCATAAATGTTTTAGTAATCAGACGTTTGAATTTAGTATCTAACGGCAAATGTACGCAAATCAATGAATAAGATTGTTTGCTGTTCTAATTATAATTTTCTCAGATAGATTACTTCGAAATATTGTTAATTATTATGATTCCTATCGAAGATAACAAAAATCGTCGAATTATTCGAAATTGCTATGGTTAGAAAATCAGTTTGATGTGAATTGATTTAAATAACTTTGATTACTAATAACACCGGTCATTAATAGGCTTGCATAAATGAAACTCTTTCCATATTGATACCTCTTTGCAAAAAAAACAACTTATATTACTGTATTATCTTTTATTTCTTTGGCTTACTTTATTTTTGTGTTATTTCGATTGCAGGCAGTCGATGTCCTGTACCATGCAATTACGACGGTATGGCCAGAAACTCACTATAGAGCTGGCAGCTGGAAACAGCTAATTCTCTACAACCTGCTAGATTACCTGCCTACGGAGGTGGTTGATCTGATGTTTGATAAGATCATGAAGCCTCCTGTATTGCCAAATGCTGTAATGAAAAGCTAATCGTAAACGCAGATGCGGTCAGTTGAATTTCATTTTCGTCAAATGGATCACCATTATAAATTGCGGATGTCCACTACTATACTTAGAGAGAATTGCCGCGCACAAGCTAAACGTACTATCATGGCGTTTGTATCGTGCGCTATAAAATTTACAAGCAAACAATCTGATAACAGAAGCGTTTCAGCAAATATTGTTGGTAAGACGTTGCCGGGCCGGTGCGGATCGCTGCGTTACTGAACACCGCTGTACAATAGATGTTAATAAAGCGCATGTACACTACACAGGGCTTTTTTTAAATTCGGTAATTTCTGTTTTCGATTGGCCATAATTTCGAGCTTATCTAAAGCTAAGTATATTACTCATTTTTATCTAATATTAGGTACATTCGCTCTAGACATTTCATATGAATTTTTGGACACGCTCTTGTTGATCTATAATGGTCGTGTTCGAAAAAGAAATATAGGGGTAAACAAATTTGATCGGTTTTATCTAGCTCCTGTGGACAACGAAGAAAGTCTGCTGAGAAACAACCTAACGGGTCCACTGGTTGGCTTGACGTGGCTATCATTTCTTAGGTCGACCACACAATGAAGGACGATGCCCGACCTTGTTGCAGGCACAGCTGTGAGAGCGGCATTACTGTTCTCGTCTGTTTACGAACACCGGGCCCCGTTACTCCGTGTCCTACGACCCGTCTGATTTCACGATGGCGCTTGATGCATGGCCTATTCCCTCTGTAGAAACTTCAACGTCATCGATAAACCTCAAGTACATGATGCTGCTGTTTTTGGTTCTGTTCGAAGTGGTGGGGCGGCTAAACCTGAATTCCTTGAAGTTTATTCTGACAATTAATTTTAGCTATTGATTTGGATTTGTGCTTTTTCAGTGGCTTAAACAATACGTTCTAGCGCATCGTGTTGCTAGCTAGAAGTCAGCAGTTTTCATTACTGGTAAGCACGTATACCGACACAAACAGTGGCTACATATGGCAAAATATTTCAATGCACAGTAAGATGTGCAAATTCCGATAGGTATCTGAGCTCTATACTTGCATAACTAATAAGCTACTTTAAGAAGGTAAGAATTATTATGGTAATGTATTCCATTATGTTGTAAAGTGAGAACAAGCTCGATCCTGTTTCTCGATTGCGTTTCCCGCTATTCTTCCATTTTTTAGCCGGGGAATGATACCACCGAAGACGCGAGTTAAAACAGATCAAAGTATACACCATACGGGCTCAAATTAATATATGAAGAGCACCGTGTTCTCATTGTAAGTCAAAAATCATAGTTGTAAATATATATGTATGTATGTACGTGTTAGGACTGCACAATTCTAAACATTTTAATTTATTGATCAACTTCATGATTAGTACAATCTAGAAGTTGATATGTATTAGTTAACCGAGGTGGCTCTTGGAATTCTATTTTACAGGATTCGATACCGATCCTGTAAAACAGATACGAATTATTACATAAAGCTAAGGTGCCACAAATAAATGTTTATTCAGTTATTCCACTTACGACCTATGGGTAGACAATAAATAGTTGGTTTGCTCCATTAGGGCTCTAATCTATTTACTGCGGAACGAGATCATTAGGCTGATGTGATTTTTTTAAATTTCATTTCATTGAAATTTTATGATTTACTTATGCATCTTTCTAACCAGCTGCTGAGGCACTATATGTATGTGTGTGTATGTGCGTGTTGGAAAAATACGCGCCTCTGAAATAGGAACCATTTTTTATATGATGGGAGCAGTGTTAGAGGGCGTACAATGTGATTCAAGCGATTACGTGATTCTTTTCACGGACACAAATGATCAGCTCGTGTGAAGATTGTGCTGATAAAAGTAGAAAAAAAAATGGAACAAAGCTACCCACAGCACTGAAACCTGTTGTGGACTTATCGCGTTAAATGTTCATGTAAAGATAGATAGCGTTTTAGTCAATTGTGCTATATAAGCTTAGTTAAAAACTATTCACATTGAACTGGCATAGATGACAGTAAAGCTGGTGCTTCTCGCCAGCCAATGTGTTGAACGACTGGGTGGAATCCATAACGATGGGATTTAATTCATACTGAAAAAAATGCCGAAACCTTGAATAATTCCTTTCGATCACGAATGAGGAGAAATTCTAACAGATTCTCAAAAGTGTTTGTTGAAGGTTTTCTGAAACTGAAATCGGTAAGCACATATCTTAGCGACCTAAAAGAACATTAAAAAAAAATATTATATTCTGGGTAAATAGTATGGTATTCACCTTAACAAATTGAGAGCTAACGAAATCAATAATGGCCCTGAATAATGACTAGGCAGCCTCACAGAGTTTGTAATGTCCTTCATAGTTTTAGAAGACTAACCTGTACGTACCTAAATAGCAGTACTCAAGCACAGTTTGCTTAACACTTGTTTTAAGTAGATACGAAAATGTGAAGCTTGTTTTTGTATCTACGCTTTTTGACTGTTCAGACTTCTTGTCCACCGCTATGCAATTCAGGAATGGCACCACAGGGTACGGCATCGATTGAGAGAAGCTTTGACATTAATGTCGTGGGTGTCATTCTCGTAATTCAAACCGTTCTTTTGTTTCTGCATGAACAAACGGCGTACTGTTATCACGGCCAGCGTCGCAACTTCGTTTAGATCCTTCAATCTACCTTGTCTTCCATTTAGATATCGCTAACGATCTATGTGCAGTCAGTGTATACTGCATTAATTGACGGATTTGTTTCTGGTCCGAGCGTTGAGCTATTTGTGTCAAGCAAACAGTGAATGTAAGATAACTGAACATATATATAGACGTATATTAATCAATCTAATGTTCTACACAGGGAAATGCGCCTTTCACGCAAAGCCCAATATTTTTTTCACTTACCTCCGACTAAAAAGTCGAGAGGTTGCTTATAGTCACTTGTAGCCTGCTTGAACAATGCGATGAAATAAAGAAGATAACGAAATAGAACTTGGCACAATTATCACTCGTTCGAATATTAGGCAACGTTTACATGCTTGTTCTGGCTCTCTATTCAATGACGAAAGCTACAGTGGCTTTTGTTGTCGAAGGTTTGAAACGTACGCTGCAAATGTGATGTGGATGTGCCCGGTTAGACCAATGTTATACGGACGACTTAGCAAAGATTCATGCAGTACCTGACTGATTGTGATCTATGCCTATCGATAGTGACGAATATGTCGTCATTATCATTTACTAACTGTCAGATACATAGTCAAGTTGAGTATAAAATTATATAGGAGTCCTTCAAAAAAAATAGAACAAAATGTGAATGATAAATATATTAATAATGATAAATATAATGTATTTTGCTAGATTTAGATTAGATTTGCTAGAATACACATAAAACTTTTAGCAGGGTTATAGTATATATATAGAAGATGATAGTGAAATATAACTCTTTACCTTTGATTATTATCTTTAATTTTAATTGTCTTTAATACAATAGCCTAGCCTTACAGCGGTATTGCAAAATAGTACAGTGAGTATTTTCAGTACTATATACTCTGTTTTCTAGATTTAATCATGGTACCCAATTACTGCTCCTAATTAATCAAAGCCTGTTAATTTTTTACCCAAGTAGATCTAAGCTAGCCAGTTAATTGTTTTAGTGAATTAACAGTATTTCTAAGAATTACGTATATTTTGTAATTATTATATTTTATACTCTATAGAATATTATATTTTGTGAAACATTTGAATATCTCAGGACAGGAAAGAGTGCTTGAGAACCATAGAACTTCCGCAATTGCCTAAAAGCACACAAAACGACTACAATTTCCGGTACTTCAAGCAGTTTTGGTTGAATGCGTGAAATTTCATTGAAAAATTCGCAAACCAAAAACTGGACAGGTAGCAGCGGTAACTTAATCTCGACCAGGCAAACCGGAATGCATGATGTCTTTGCTATTCAAACACAAAAGTTATGGAATTTATTTCATGTGATTTGCTTACTAAGTTACTTGGAGAAATTTAAAACAATGGGCTTAATAGTGATCGTATTGACCACCCGACTTTGCCACTTACCCTTTTTATCCTCCAGAAATCTATCTATTTTTCTGTTTTGTTCCTTAGGCCGTCGCCGTGCTCGCGCATGCCGCCACAACGGTATGCCCGGATCCCATCTGCGTCTGGCAGGCTGGAGCTGTTTGCTTTTGTATAATCTTATTGACCTGCTGCCGATAGAAGTGACTGGCCTGGTTTTCCAACGGTTTATAAAAAAGACGGCGGAATTTAACGCGCTCTTTTCACGGCAGGTGGCTGCGAGCGGAACGTGCAGCCAGCAGCTGCACATATGTAAATTATTCTGCCGCCTTAACTGATTGATCACTATTAGACGCGGAGCCACAAATAATGATTACCATGAAACCGCATGCTGCACAACAACGTACCTAACTATTACAGTAAAATAGAATGTTTTGTTTGAATTAAAGGGCAAGCCCGGCTTATCTGTCTCAGTTGATGCCTGATCGTGCGATCTACAGGCTTAAACGAATAACATATTTGTAATATTCATACTATGCCATATATCCATATAACATCTCAAGGATTTTATCAAAACGCGTAGAAAGAGAGGCGAAAGGGCATCACACCAGGAAAATCTCAAACCAAAAGAGATATAAGCAGTGCCTGATAGGTACCGTATTTGTTTGTGTGTATGTTTGTATGGTCGCATGTGGATCAAATTTTCTGTGTGAGTGCTGCTCTGAACAGCGTGATTCCTTCCAACAGTCACGGTAGCGACCGATCCGCACCACTAGCGCCTTCCGTGATTTTATCAAAGTGAAATCAACAGAGCGCAAATCGCAAACTCAGCTGGTCTAGCGGTCAAAGCGCGTCACCGTCATACAGCGGCAGCGGTGCATTCGCTGCTATTCGTCAAGGTGTTCACGAGCGTGCCTGGGTTCCTTCTGTCCTCGGTCATCGAGGCAAGCTCTATTATTCCGTTCATGCAGGCGACAAAACTCTTAGCAAACTCATCGCCTCTACCAGTCCGCGCTTTGTATGTTGTGTGTATTCTCGTTGTATCTCGCTGCATCTGCAAGTCTTCCCGGATAAGTCTCGGACTACGGGGCGCCAAAGAGTCAGGGGTACGCTACACTCTGCTGGCTTGTTCCTTCGTCAGTTCCGACTCGGTTCATGTCAACATGAAGAGCAGGAACGCCGTGAAAAGAGGAAGCGAGCGAGAAAAAGGGAGCTGTTTGGACGCGAGAAAGCATTGTTGGAGCAAAAGGAGAACGGATGAGGCAAAGGAACGGGTCGCCCGTTTTGTGGTCCTGGAATTGAGTGGGTGGCAGCCCAACTTACATCATAGGTGAACATTTTTTGCTAGAAGAATGGTGCTCTGATCCCTTAAAAGACTAAGGTTTCGATGCTGTCTCGACTGCCATCGACGGTGCAGCCGTGTCCGAACCAGCGTTCGTCGCTACTGCGACTACGTCTTTCTGTCGCTGTTGTCATGTTAATCATTACACTGAACCATTCGCTGGAGATTAAACAGCCTTCGGCAAGGAGTGCACCCGTCGTTACCTCGGCCGTCCGTGACTAGGACGATGAGGACGTCGTTGACGGCTGAGGTGATGGTAATGGCTGTGGGCGGAGTTTTCATTGGAACTCATCAGGATTCCACCGGCGAGAACAACACTCATCACTGGCTCGATACCCGCACAGCGACGTCATCGCACCTCTGGTCCATCCTAAAAGTCCTCACAGCAAAGCTGTCAAAGATAGAACTGATACAGAACAGTCGACGTATCTGCAACACACAGCGCAAGCACCCAGTAACAGTCCAATACACGCGTACATACAGAAGGAAGGATGACAAACGTTCGTACAGCGCCAAATACTTTGGATCGGAACGTAGATCTCCGGCCGAAGAAAAGCAGCATGCGACGACGTTTGCGCTCTACACGAGACTGAGGCCGGAAGTCGACTTAGGTTATTAAGGAGCCTAAGCTGCCGCGCTGGAGAAAACGAGACAAACCGTAAGGTTACAATCTAATGTTTTGTTCTCACTTCCCTGCGTACATTTTTGTTTTTTTTTTCTAATTTCTAGCGGTGTTTACTTTGTTCCCATTGCATATTTCTTCGATGTTGAATCCGTCCTTTTAAGTAAAACTCGATCTCTGCATCTAGAGCTATGGTTTCTCCAATTTACCCGGACCGACATGTTTACCTCCGCAGGAAAAAATCCATGAACCTGCAACATATTTTCTGCTTCGAATTATTTTTTCTACTCTAGTCCCGACAGCAGTATCGGCGAAATTGGTCCTCTTGTATGTTTTGACAACTAGTGACTTCCGGTCTTGTCGACATCGTTGCGGCTCACAAAGGAGCTCTCCGTGTCCTTTCCTTCGCCCTTAGCATAACTCACGATAGGCGCTAGTGACAACGACCGGATGGTGGCCCACGTTGTTTGCCTATGAAAATCGGGTCGCCATCAGTTCGTTGTTATCTGTCGTTATTGACCCCCGGCGTCAGAAGTTCGGCATACACTCAATTCTTTTGGCTGCCAGCTCCCTAGAAATCTGAACTCGCGTTGCCATTGTCACGGATACACGTCGGAACTACGATGGATTATTGTCCCAAGCGGGCGAATCGAGTTAGCCTTATTGGGTGAGCATTGAGCAGATCGGTTGGTACAACGATCGGCCACGGATGCGCGCGCTTATAGGTCGACATTTGTCGGCCACAGGCTGAGAGCTCTGTGAGCGCTGATAGGCGGCCACTACTGCGGCGTTGCGTTCACTGGCCGCCTGGAGAGGGTATTCGTGTCAACATAACGACATTGGACGTGTCGCCGCGATTTGCGAGTAAAGCGCCAACCGACACCAGGTTTCCACGGAGGTTTTCGACAGACTGACGAAGACTACTAGCAGAGTAGTACGCATCCTAACACCGACCGTTTGTGCCGGCGGCCACTATCGCCACTGCCGGTTTAGTGTGATGGTCTTTGATATGGAGATGATGATCCAAGAGAGCTATGCTTGTCCATGTTTATCGCTCGCGTCTCGTCACAATGGCCTCGAGGGCCTTACTCACTAGTGAAGAGCTAAAATGTTAGTGCACTCGGCAGAGAGCGGGCCAAAAGCCTAGAGAGTAACCCGGCGTTGAAGGACAGTGTGGCGCAAAGAGCAAGAAGGACAAAACGATGGAGAGGATGAATGAAAGATACACGGGAAAACGCACTGCATAGCAGGCTTTCTCGCAAGCTTCGACCGGTACATGCAACCTGTCTAAAGCTCTTCTTGAGTTTTCAGCCGGTGAAGGAGGAGAAGGTTCCACCGAGAATCAAGAAAGTTCCTTCGACGTGCTTTCATCACCCCCGTCCACCTTTCTTTTCCACCTACTATATAGGAACGTTGATCTCAGCAAGCAAACATTGGCGATCCCCAGACCTTACGCTGGATCCCTAGCCTCTCGCTACGAAGTCGTCCTTGTCGCTCTAGGACCGAGCTGACTTGGAAGGGGTACACAGGCTCTATCCTTTCTTTATAAACCCGCTCCTGATCGATGAAACTCACCGAAAGAGATTAGCATGTGAATCGCCGTCAGGGCGACAACCGTTGAAGAACCAACATGCCGCTCGCTACGGCTTCATTCGAGGAAGAAATCCGGAATAGATGAGAGACCTAGACTGTAACGATGGCTACCCCTTGCATTTACCCCTTCCCCTAAGCATCTCAGGACTTTTGAGTCTTTATCCCGCGCGTAAGCAAATTACAAGATGAGGCCCTTCTCGCAGAATGATAATAACAGTCATCACAATTATAACAGTAGTCGCACGTGAAAGATGCACACAACGTTTAAATGGGTGACATATTTATGTCGTTCCTCAAATTTTTAGCTCATATTTAATTACGAACACCAAACCTGTTGGATCAATTTTTAGGTTAAACCTATGAAACTAGAATCAACACACAAATTTGCATTTAATGATTAGAAAAATTATCGGATGCCAGAAAAAATATCGGAAAAAATTTTCTGCCACTTATATAGCCTGATGAGCTTTACAGGCGAGAATGTATTTAATATTGCAATGCAGCGTAAGTACCTCATCTGAGGAAAAATGATCCTATAGCATAATGTCTACCAATTCATTTATATTTTATAACCTATTGTTGAAAGTAGATATAAGCTATAAGCGACACTAAACCGTCTTCTGCCACAAAGGCTAAGGATACATATATGAAATTGCTGTTTTTTCAAGTTATAGTTCGTATCATATCTGTTTTAACTAAGACTGGATAATAACTTCAGCTACCAATGAGTATTTATTGAAGTGAGGTACACGAATACAATGAAATTGTATAGTTACATCAAATTAATTCTATTAAATCAATCAAGCTATCAAAACTATCATATTATATTAATAATTGCCCTTTTGTTGCAATGTTACAGACTGAGGTTTCGAGTTGTTGTGAGATATCGACAACACTCAATCAATCAGGAAAAAAATATGAGTATAATCAGTGTTTTAATGCATGATCCCGGTAGACAATGCATTCGCCCGTTAAAACCCATCTACGTTGCTTTCGAAAGATTGAATTAAAATCGTTATAGAACTCCACTATTTATGTCCATAATATGCTCATGGACGAATGGAGCACGAGTGAATACTTGTAACGGTTTTTTATTAGAAACAACAATAGAACAAACAAAGAGCAAGCTTCAGCGTGGCATGAAATTTAGATTATTGAACTATATCTTTGCGTCATACCCAAATCATTTATTTACATCGTTCCGGCTTCGCAAACATGAACACATAGTAAAACGTGTCATATACTGTCCACGTTACGCTTTACAACACTTCGGCATAATTCCCGCTGAAGGCAAATCTATACATGAGAAATTTTCTCATATGCTGTAGTTATTCAAGTTGGCTGAGATCAATGACCTCACCTACGTTTATTCGTTGCTTTATATTCTTTGACGCCCCACTTCCTGCTGGTACAGCCGCGGCAACAGCTGCTCCGAGAGCAGCTAAGCCTCCGTTCGGTAACTTATCCTGTTTTTCGTCCTTCACTCTATTGGCATAATCCCTTAACTTTTTAGCTGCAAGTCATACAATTCAAAAGTTATGATAAAAAACGTGTTACCACGCAAAAACATTCAACGTCTTCGGCTTGTAAACTATTCTTTAGAAAAAAAGGAAAGAGAACAGTCCCTTCTATAATAAAAAGAAAATCCTTCCAGATGCTACACAAGGTTAAAACAACAGTATTAGATGTAATTTTATAAAATTACATCTCTGTGACGACGAAGCATCTAAAAAATATCAGTATTTATTTGCAACTATTTTTCCTAATATTCATATGTTTGTTAGTCTTTTACACTAAAGCATATTAGAAGGAATGATTTCTGTTACGTACCAAGAAAAGGGTTTCGACGCGCGCAAAGTATTACATCGTCTGTGGTAACCTTAGTTCTCTTGGCATGCTTGGCAAACGCCTCAAGATCTCTTGCCAATATGCCGATTCTGCAAAATATGAAAACATAAAACGTTAGAGAATGATCTGTTAAACCCAATTTTATAAGCAAAATATAACATTTCAGAGATTTGATGTACATAACCGTACTATCAAGGCACTTTGATAGCAAAGTTTAAAATTAACAGTCAGGAATTAATAATAGGAAGCGTGCCTTACAACATACGCAGGGTAGTGTCCGTTCAATCAACCAAGTAGATACAATTTCATTCCTAGCTAAAATTGTACAAACTAACGAAAATTTTACCCAAAGCTGATACCATTTTGATATACAAACTAGTAGCGAAACTTCCTAATTAATCGCGAACAGTTCACTCTTCATATTTCAAGACAGAATTTTTGTCTAGCCAGAACAAGTTACCCAATGGGACCGTATGCAGATCAAGCGCAACATACAAGCAAACCGTATTTACTAATTTCAAATGTTCTAAATAAATACTCTGCTTGAAGCATCCGACTAGCCCTTTAGAGAGCTTCTCGAATTTTGATGCACACCTGCCTATTATAGGGCGCGCGAAAGGGTGTTATGTTCGTGAACCCGATTGCAACGTTTTTTTCAATGCTGTAATTTTAGTTTCTCATATGCTGTGCATACAGCTTCATGGGAACTATCCATTAATGGCGTCTCACTTTCGGAAAACGATCTCGGCAATGGCGGCAATTGTCTGACGATCGAATTTCTTGACGTCTACTGGTTGCGAAAAAGACGGACAGTCCTCGATAATATTTCCAACAGTGAAATGCACGGCTGCGTGATATCGAGCCAAGGACTCCTTGTTTTCACAGAGCCGCATCTGAAGTACAAAAGCATTGTTTGTGTTATATGGTGTACTTCACGATTCTTCTAGTATGTGCTGGATAAAACTGCATTTGTTAACGAGTAAGGGAATCCACCTTAGCCTTATACACTAAAGACTACTAGGACATTATAGAACTTGTATTCTAAAGACCTTAGCCTTTCTGCTAGCAACGATAGATAATCTGCACTACGAAAAACGTGTTATTTTTTATTGCATCAATGGTAAAGCATTTTGGGAGAATTACGCGCCGTAATCCAGTAAATGTGGAAAGCCTCTCGCATCCAACGTATCTCCTGTTACTGAAATCATGTCTCCCCAATTACGGAGCAAAGCAATAAGAGCTGCCCGGTAAAACTTCCCTTCGTTCTTACCCAGACAAATAAAAAATAAGGCTTCTTTATTTTAGTTAAACATGTGACGAAAAGGGTTATAATACCGAACCCAATAACCAATAATAGCGGTTGTCCAGATGTGAGTTGTATTAAATAGAAACTATTTACTTTCAACTGAGAAACACATACAGTGTTTCAATACGAATCGTGCTGGCTCTTTCTCGTATGTTAAACATTCATTATTCAATTATCAGCATAAGCTACGCTTGCTAAAGTATGGCACAACTTATACAAACAAACAAAGAACTCAATCTGAGTACTTTTGTGCCAAATTCCTTAGCCCCCTGGCAGTAATTATGTAAAGCCTACAAGTAGTCGATTTAAAGATAAATAAAAAAAAAAAATAACTTTTATAACTAAAAGCACAACTCCCTTTACTATATTGTGTTCTGATCTATTTAAACTAGCACCAAGCGCAATAACATAAGGATCGGAAAAGAAACAGTGCATTCTCAGCTTATGCCTGACAATCTCCACGTGATTATAGTGCAGATTAGTCGTATAAATTGGATTATTCACTCACTTTTCCATAAGCGGTTTCCATATGCAAAACCTTCCCGCCAAACGGTGGTTCTTCAAAAAAAATAGGCTTGTACCACACTGTCGCAGTTGTATAGCTAAAAGAAGCAAATGTTTGTGTTGACTCATTGACATTATAGAGTAGCACCTTTTACGGCATTGCACAGCAAAACCATCTTGCAGTATGGCTATATTGCATATCTCTTGAAGCACCTACCCGACAGAGCAATGTTTGGTTAATGAAGTATTATCTTAATTTTCGCATCAGAGGTCACTTGGTAATACTGTGGTTCTATTGTGGTGCCCTCTCGTGTTGACATTCGTGTCTCTACAGCGTCGTCTGCTAAGCTGGCCTCAGCAGCTGACCGAGAGGAACATTGTTCTACTTTGGAGTCGTCAAAGTGAAATGTGTTTCTCCGTTCTAGATAATGTCTGGTTTTGGAGAAAGCTAACGTGTCACTGCGAGGCCGAATTATCGTATCTGTACAGGATGGAAGAATAGAACATTATTATCGAACTGTCAGTGGTCTCTGTAATAGGTCGTTTACCTATTTCGTGGGAATGTAAATTACGTGAAGATAAATTAAACACCTTTCCCATTATTAACTTTCAAAGACGGCCCGGTCAACGTATTATAAAGCGAGTAAATGATCGGTAATCCTAAGCAGTACCGTTGATTTGATCCAGTCGTTTTTTCTCTAAGAAAGAAAACATTCCGTTAACTGGTACCCTGCTGACTACTTTAATTATTCTCCGACTGAACAAACGTCTTCAGCAATGATGAACGTTCGGATCAACAATATAAGACCTTTTCGCTTTTGTTTTCAACTGCTATTGTTGCAAAGTGTGTTATTGATGCAAGTGCAGTACGCAGCTGGGGAAGACAAGCCGGTAGACAAGGCCGATCACCCAGTAGGTGAAAATGTCAGTCCGGGTCTTACATCAGTTTCAGTCAGTGCCGCACAAGCGACGAATTCGCCGAAAGACGCGGGTATCGAGTCCACTAAGACCGAAGATTCCAGATCCTCCTCACACATGACTGCCGAAAATGCCATCACCACCGAAGAGGCACGCCATGCTGTGGTCGGATTCGAAACGGCCATGGCCCTCCTTAACGGCACTCCCTCTGCGTTGAAAGGAAGTGAACGTGAACGAACGATCAAGGCCTACGCGCTATTAGAAAAAGTGGCTGGCCTCGGTCACCCCATAGCTCAACGGATGATCGCCGTGGCTCATCTGTTCGGTGATGCAGGTCTTGAACTAAATTGTCATCGGGCACGTGAGCTTCTTGAGCCGCTAGCCGCCAGGGGCGATTCCGAGGCGCAGCTGTATATGGGTTTTATGCATTCATTCGGTTTGGCCTCTTTGCCGCCTTCTAAGGCGAAGGCTCTTGTGTACTATACATTTGCGGCGGTCGGAGGCAACCAGTTAGCCCAAATGGCACTTGGTTATCGCTATATGGCAGGTGTCGGTGTAGCGCAAAGCTGCGAATCAGCGCTGGATCACTATCGACGAGTGGCACAAAGCGTTGAACAACAGCAAAGTGGATCTTCGAGTAGTAGTTCCCACAATGGCTCAGGAGGAAGCAGTCCAGTTCAATCTGGGGCTCCAGCACCAACTGCTACGATTGCTCTGGCAAAAGTTCGTCTCAGCGATGAATACGAAAACCCTTCACGACCTTCATCGAACCAGCTGGACGATGATCTTATCCAGTATTACCAATTCCTGGCGGACAAAGGTGATGTACAGGCTCAGGTCGGACTCGGACATCTTCACTATCAGGGTGGCCGGGGCGTTCAGCAAGATCATATACGAGCCCTTAACTATTTCACGCAGGCTGCTAATACTGGCAACGCCAATGCAATGGCGTTCCTCGGCAAAATGTTCCTCGAGGGCGGAAAAGCAGTTTCGCAGAATAACGAGACTGCTTTCAAGTACTTCTCAATGGCTGCTGAAAAAGGTAATGCCGTGGGACAAGCTGGCCTTGGCACTATGTATCTATACGGTAAGGGTGTCCCGAAGGACCATGAACGGGCCCTACGTTATTTAACAATGGCGGCAAATCAGGGTCTCGTTGATGGACAGCTTGAGCTCGGCAACATGTTTTATCATGGATTAGGAGTTGAAAAAAATTACAAGGTTGCCCTGAAATATTATCAACAAGCTTCAACGCATGGGCACGTTCTTGCCTTCTACCATCTCGGTATGATGAATGCTCGAGGAATTGGCACCCCACGCAGTTGCCATAACGCCGTCCACCTATTTAAGGTAATTAATAAATACAATATTAGTTTAAACTTTCAACTCAACAATGAAGCATCTCAGTGACAGTGCGTTTGTCAAATAGAGATTTCTCAACAAGTACACCTACCATTAATAGACCTATGATGCAATGCCAACTTACAAACCCGTTCACATTTGGCAATATATCATATCACATCGGATCTAAGTCTTATTTCATTTCAATGGTAAAATTATTCTTATGGGCTTCCAGATGGTAGCAGAGCGTGGACGTTGGGTTTTGTCTCAACTGACGGAAGCTTACCGGGCTTACAAAGTGGGAGGAGCGAGGATTGATGAAGCTTTAATACGGTACGCGTTCCTGGCGGAGCTTGGCTATGAGCAGGCCCAGAGTAATGCGGCATTCATTCTTGATCGTGCCGAATCTCCTCTTTTCGATCGCAACGCTTCGTACACATGGGCGCTAAGCTACTGGGCCAGAGCAGCCACACAGGGATACGTCGTGGCTAGGTGAGCGATAATGTTACAGTTTTTTAGCGCGCAGCGAAATATGTCATGTGGACGATAAGGTACGTGAGGTGCATTCCTGCATTGCGCTGATGCTACTATCTCTGTTTAAATGGGTGTGTGTACCTACTCTGTGATCCATGTAAAACTCATACGTACAAAAAGTTGTAGATGAGATGCTCTTCTTTGTAGCGGTTCATAGTATGCTTGATATTAAGTCCATATGTAAAAAATGTAAGATTACAGAAATTGTATTTTTAAGGCGTTCACTTAATTTAGCAATTACGTTTATGATGTTAGCAAAACTAATAACGTGGTCACCGCTCACTTTATTTTTATTGTGGCACTTCCTGTTTGTCGGCTGTACTCACCGACGTAGACTCAAGTTGGGTGATTATCATTATTATGGTTACGGAACACCTGTCGACTATGCGTTATCCGCCCATCACTATCGTGTTGCCGCTGAGACGGAGAACAATCCACAGGCGATGTTCAATCTTGGTTATATGCATGAACAAGGCTATGGTATGCCAAAGGATATTCATCTAGCCAAGAGATACTACGACCTCGCGGCTGTTACTTCCGTTGACGCTCAGGTAATTTCAAAATACGAAAGCAAAATGTCTATAACTGTAATAAGAAGAAAACTAGTAAAGATCTGTAACCGTGTCAATGTACTTTAGATGGTTTTTTGAAAACGTGAGAATCAAATGAGTTATCCGTACAGCTCACTTACTCGTTTGCTAATTGAGCCCTGTTGATTTGTATTGATATTTCGAAGACATGCAACATGATAACGCACAGTTGTCGATAGATCTGAAAAGCATAGAAGTAATCCATTGAAATGAGTTGACCAAGACTATAATGTAATCATACTTTGCAATAAAAATATTGGTTCTTCCTTTAGTCTGATAGCATTCTTAATCTACTAGAATACTACTAACTAAATGCTCCATGGGTAATAATTAATTTTTCACCAACAGGTTCCAGTAATGTTGGCTTTGTTGAAGCTAGCCTTCATGTATGGAATGGAGTACCTGAACAACTTACGGTGGGATTCGTTGGCAGAACCTGCCTTCATAATGCAGCGTGCACTAGGGCCTGATTGGGATCTTTACATTATGGGCCTGCTGGCGGGACTCATCGCGGGAATGGCCTACATACGAAGAATGCTTTAGATAAGAAGTAATGAAAAACTCGTCGTTGGTAGAAACAAAAAAGATTACGCGAAAATTTAAATACACAATTGCACGACTTGACGAGATTATTCAAATGATAATCGAATGTGATCATATACAGATACACAAACACACATAAGCATTACGTCATGTCGTAGTATGTAACAATTGTAAATGTACGTGATGGCTAAGTCAACCTTAAACGGTTCCTGCGTTTTCAGTTGGTGTGTTATGAGATAATTCAATGTAGTAGGTATGCTAATGATATAAATTAATTTTCTTTTCCGTTTTTATTTTCTACTCAAAAGTCACAGAAATCTTGGAACTATGAAATTAATTGAAAACGTTTGTCCATTGTACAGCCTTGTCATGAGCTGCTCTGTCGGAGATAATTATGCTGATGAAGCTGACTCGTTATGTGGATGACTTATATAAACAAAAAAGTCTTACCAAAAGCTCCTCGAAAAATAGAAAGTTCACTGTTAATGCGGCAGCCAAGCTACGAGAAAGTTTCGTACAGATGGAATTTCGATCATTCCAAGTTGCCAAGTTACAATCTAAGCTATTTAGTGTTAATTCAAGCGGTGATGGCATGTCTAATGTAAAACAGGACATAGATCACCTTTACATGAGCACGAATATAAGGCTTGTTTTGTTGTCCAATATATAGATAGGCTATTGTGCACGTGTTTCTAATTACAAACTGAGGTGAGGAAATCCTTTTGAAGCGAAATGGTTCCGCTTTATTCTAGCCGCCAGCCTAAAGTCTTTGGGATGCAAGCCGTGTCAGCACCTACCGGAGTACTAATATTGCCTCATAGAAATTTTCGGTGTCTGTCCGTTCTTCCTCACGGGCATCTTGCTGCAAGCAAGGCTTATTTGAGAAAAAGTTTCTGTCACTACAAGGAAAAATGAAAATTTAAATATTACATATGTACAAAACCACAAAAAAGATAAGATTAACGAAAACATATATATCTTTTATCATTTTATAAAGTTTTAGAAACCCGAAATAGGATCAAGGAAAAATGGACACCGCTCTCGGTTGACAATAGTTAAAGGGCGATTGAAGGCTCAACATTTTTTGTAAATATAAAATTGCACGCAAAGTTGCAGGAGCAAACATCAATCTATGAATACATATTTACCCGGTGAAGAGTTGAACATAGCTTAGCGATAGATGATGTGAAGATCGCTCATTGCATACCCACGCAGCGAAATTGTAAAACGCAGGGAGCAGGCGACGAATGTAATGTACAGTTTTCCGCTCGTTGAAAGTGAGAGATCTATCGGCTCAAAACCACAGGACAAAGAACACTAATAGCTGGATAGATCCAGGTAAAGTCACAAAAAGGCGTTCCATAAAAGCTAGCGATTCTCGGTCGAATGTATATTTATATACATACACGTATGTAGATTCGATTGAGAATATATATATAACCAACAGGTGAATAACCAATGAGTTAGGTAGGAGAAAGTTCGTATAATACTAATAATAATATAAAGAGGTCAAATAATATAGGCAAACAAACGATTAAAATTTATATAACTAAAGGGACAGCGCGTCCGAATAAAGGTGGGTTGCCGACATCATGCAAACAGAATGTGCAGAAAATATATAATCGATATAGCTTGGAAAAGAATGAGTGAACGAGTGAATGTATTTCACTTATTTTGTGGGTTTTTTAAACATTCACTTCGAGAGGCCTCTCCTTTCGTACAAGTTTCATTACGTTTCAACGTATCTTTGGGTTGGAGTTCTGCTGAAACCATGTTACGATTTCCTTTCGATTGTCGGTGCTTATATACGTCAGTGGGGTAGAAGAAAATTGAGACAATAGTTCATGTGTGTATCAAATGGAGTGAATAAACAAAAGTCCATTAGCGAAACCGTTCACTAAGTATGTATGACGCATAAGGTACCCTAAGACTGGAGGAAGCACGCACGTAACTGTAAAATTGGCTTATGAAATACTGGGACAATTATATCGCACCTGCTAGCTCATTTACCTGGGCAAAACTCCAGCGAAATTCCGAGTATAATTATTTATTTTAGTAGAAGTGAAAGTATGCGTGTACATTTCTTAAAGTATGTTTTTTGCAATTCTAAAAATATACATTTATGGTATAACAATGAAATGTTCATATGAGGTAACTGTTTTCTTTTTTTTTCTTTATATATTATGATATTTTCCTAATGGTTTAGATAGTTAAAAAAAGCAATAGTTTAGATTAGTTGCACATTTAGAGCAGACCGCGACGAAAGTTCTTTGACCTGTCAAAAAATGATGTACATTTTTAATCAAACGAAATCAACGAATAATAATCTGTGAGGCGACAGTATTTCTTAGAACGCAGCTATTGAGCTCTTCTTCTCAGGTAGTAAATGAAAAACATTAGACATTGGATTTTGATATTTCAATTTTTATATGATTACAATCATAAGGACCGCTATCGTTTATATTCGTAAACAAGCATTTTTTCATTCTCTATCTAAGCAGACCTCTACTTGAGAGCTTAGGTATATGCCACTCGATATTTTAGGGTGAAGTGATCTTGGTAATAGGTAAGACGACAACGAGGTTAACCATACGCTAAACGTTGCATGCTTTACTACGGACGGGTGCGTGTAGCTCTTTTATTGAGATGTTCCACATAAAAAGGTATCTCCAGAGTAAGGAGATTTAAAGATAAAGATTAATATAAGGACCTCGTAGCTACAAAGTCAAGCACACGTATCTCGTGGCTTCCGTAGTGGTGCCTAATAAGACTTTAGAATCAAAAATTGTGAGGCGGTTCAGCCTGAAAATCGGCACGAAAAATGTTCTGTTATTACTTCTTAAGTAAAAAAAAAAAACGAATACAGGCCGTACACTATTGTAGACTTTATTTTATATTCAATACTTTGTAGAGACCGCTACTACTATATGTAATGTAGGCTTTTTGGCACTTCGATTAATTGTGTTCTATTTTATGTATAATATTATTGACAAAAGTTTATTATCTTCCTTCAAGTCTGTTTTCCATAATATCGACAAGCTTGAGTGCTTGCGTTACTCCATGACGTAGTCGGTGGAATTCGTCTATCGAGACCTCGCCGCTGATTACTTCACCTGAGGTTGTCTTCATCGAGAGCATCACGCAAGGTGTCCACCGCTTTGAACCACTTGTGCTATAGAACAGAACAGCGAAGTATCAATATATTACAGTAAAGTCACATAAGTGATTACTGCACAGCTCCGTTTCACCTTTGCTGCGATAATGGCCAACTGATATTCAATTTTTTTCTTAGGGTCTAAAAGCTTTCAGTCCAGTGAATCATACAAAATTAGCTTTCATGTTGCAAAGGGTATTTAGATGACAAAAAGATAACGGAAGTACCGCTAACGATTACCTAAAGCGCTGCATACCTTTAATGAGCTTAGTTAGAACTGGACTTTTACTAAGAGAATTACTAGATTGACCGACAAAGTACGAACCCATCTGAAGTAATGGTAACATCAATTTTATGTTCAATTTCTTCGAGTCCATCGAATTTAGGCTGCATCTCTCTAGCAATTTTCTGCAGCTTTTGTCGACGCCCGCCTAACAAAGCTGAGCATAAATCGCTAGAAAAATCGTCCGAAATCTTCAGCTGAAGTAAGTCCTTTTTGAACTCCTGTAAAGAAAATGACGGCATTATTTTTCCGACACCTCGAAAAAATAATCTATCCAAATTAATAGGTAAAGGTTTTTTTAACACTGTTTTTTTTCATCAAGGACCCATTTCGCTGTTTATTTGGAATGATCGTAGTTTGGTGTGTTGCGTCAGTGTTAGGGACAATCAGAGAGTATAACGTAAGGTTCATTGCCACTGAGGCATCGAATAGGCCATGCTTGTTTGCCCTGAAATAACTGTTTTGCAACTTCTTCTTGTTCACAATAAAAATGCGTATGTTTTTTTTTGCTGTGATTCTCACGCTAAACGTGCTTACTGGGTTCAATTCTCTCAACCAACTCAATTTATTATTAGCGAAAAATTGGATGTAGGCGTGAATTCCCGGGCTTACCTCCGGAGTAAGCTCAACCGGGTCTCGGTTAACAACAGATTTGACCAATCGGTGGAGGCCCGAAAACGCTTTGTCGAATGTCTGGGGGTCCTTGGCATTTGCACGAAGCCTAGCGTACATTTGTAGAGTGACTTCCCGTCCTTCAAACTCAGTAACCAGTACTACAAAAAAGACCAAACGAGAACGCTAGAAAATAAATGTATACTAGTGTAAAGCATACCTACATCAACCAAACGCGTAACATTGCAACGAAGGATCGACCAATGGATAAAACAACACTGTCATTATTAGCTCGACAATATCACAAATTAAATTACTTGAATATTTGCGATGGATCAATAAAGGAGCTTTCTTTGGTGGACGACAGTATAATTTCTCAATGGATGATCTTATAATTCTCCGCTACCCAAATAATTTTTGAAAGATGTCTAATATTTGATGCATGAAATAAACCATCAAAATAAAATATGATTCCCTAATTTTCTATTGTGACCAAAAATATTGTTATGAGGCAATTCGCTTAAGCACGCTTTCTTCCTCAAGTGATTATCTTGTTGTAAGCATGCTGAATTTGAACGAAATTAATCGAAAGTTGTAAACTTCTACTTCTCTTACATACGAACCCTTTACCATTCCTCTGAATGTCGGTTTGTCAATATGTTCCAAATTAGAGCTCAACTGAGACACTTCTTTCGGCACTCGGCCACTGAAGAACAGCACACTTTCTCGATTCATTATTATTGTGGTTAACGTTTGCGTTAATTTTCTGCAACGATATGAACCAATTATTTTATTAAAAATTTAATTCATTTACCATGATTGCGACTCTTACCACCGATAAGTACGCCCACCTATTTGAATATACATAATTAATTTGATAGTACCAATGTGTCCTAAGCAGTAATTCCACAATTTTTTGGTACCCTACACATCGAATTCGCTCGTTAGATGACAGCGTATCGACACTTACGAAGCAACCGTACACCTGCTCGCCTCACTGTGGCTCCTCCAAACAAAGCGTATCTGGTATTAGTCTTATTGACATCGTAGTTGTGTTATGGGGCTGGAGCCGCGACCTGCCTATCCAGCTGGATTTATTATTTGTTGTCTGGTTCTGTTTTTACTAACCGTCGGAGCCGTTTCGTACGATTAACATGCTAGTGACTAGGTGTGCTCGCGCGCTGAATAGCGTACTGTGGCCAGCCCTAGGTTCTACTTCGGTTCGGTTACAATCCACTATAGTTCAGGCGACCACCAATGATGCCACCGAACACAGCGCCGGTAGGTCTTCTCGTTACTGTTACTAACTGCGTCTAGCTTTATGAACCAGCTTTTTATGCACGGTCGAATCGCGCATCAGGAAAATCGTTTGCTGAACAATTGGTTAGCTAATTTCTCCCGAATTGTCTGAGTTCAGTGTTTTTGTGGCTTTGCTTACATAAGTGAGGCTACTGATTAAGTCAAGCGTGCAATGCTGGTTCTAGCGGCCGCAAAAGCCATGTGGATGTTTATGCTCCGATTGGAAGCTGTGCGCATCTAACATTATATATATATATCGTATTTGAAATGGAAATTGTGATGATTGATGAAAAAGGTAGAAATTTCCCTACCTTTCAAAATTCTGACTGAAAAAACATTATTTGTATTTTTAATATTACGAATCTTTTATTATAAACGATATGTGTAAGATATTCTTCCACTGGTTGTATCCAAGAGTTTACCAGTTCTTGTTATTCTTACGCTACCTACTGAATGAGATGTAAATTTTGAACATTGTCAACTTCATTTTTACTGGATAAAATAATCCTGATTAGAAAATTATCTATTACTTTAATTATTATTGTACTGGCATATTTACCGCTCAAAAATGCCGCTAATTCCCGGCTATTTAATTGAAGTAGCCAGAAGTACTAACACCTGACGTCCGTATATCATCCTGTCACAATAGCCTTAATGAACTATGAGTACAATATGGATATTCTCAAGGAGCCCGATGCGTTTGCCGTCTCGTCAATTGTGTCTCTTGAGCAAATGTTCCTACACCGAATGCATCTCGGCCATAAAAGCTCCAGCGTCAATCCGCATATGCGGCCCTATATTTTTGGTAGCCGGTTCGACCAGTTAATTATCGACCTTGACAAGAGTAAGCAGCAGATGATTAAGGCGCTAAATTTTGTGGCTCATATTGCGTATCGTGACGGTATCATTCTTTTTATCACGCGTCACCATCAGACTGCTTTCAAGGTGAGCTAACCTCCTGTTTCTATCTCAGGAATACACTTCTTTAAAAAAAAATATACACAACTGTCGTCTGTTGTATAGTTCATGTACCATAAATTCGGCAGCGGATACTATAGTCAGTTTCTATACTGAAACTGCATTTTCAGAGATATTTTTTTCCCTTTTACAAACGTAAAATGATATAGCTAGCACAGACTCCGGCTATTGTTTTTAGCCTATTGATAACTAATTTGTTGCGCGATGCAATAATTAACTCTCTATTGCTTTAAAGTATGCTTGCGTCTCTCAGTAATGCACAGTCCGAATTCCGATTAGTCTTGCCGTCGAAAACGATCACATGAATGTAATAGGCAACGCTGATGACAAACGACAAGGTGGAGGCAAAAATAATTATGACTTTCAGCTTTATATTAAGCACACCATTTTTTTTTTATCTACTCGATTGATGAAGCAGGTAGAGAAATGTGCAAAGGAATGTTCTGAGTATGCCCACACTCGTCACTGGGTCACTGGATTATTTACGAACGCGGCTAACCTATTTGGAAGTGAGACTCGATTACCTGATTGTGCAATCTTCTTTTCTACCAGAGGTGAGTGTGGAACAGAGTTTTTTCAGATCTCATGAACATGCACATGTTCGCTGTGCACACCAATATTTTGGTGCTAGGTAGAAACACTCCATAATAGTACTAACAGAAATAAACGGCTATCCGATCCAGTGAGAGATAACTCGCGCTATATTAGGGCCTCTTTGTTTGTGGTTGTCTAACTCAAAGTGCATACGCGCGAAGCGGTGAATTTTTAAATATCTCTACGCTCTATATTTTTAAATATTTTTACGCATGTTTAAACAAAGTCACAAGAATAAAAGGTCATATACAGTAACAATACACTCACTTTTCACCTTTCATAGCTATCATCTAGCATCGCTGCTCTATTTTAACATAAACCCATCTACCGGCGCTAAAGATACCTTTAATTTCGCTTTCTCACATTCATTATGTGTCACTATTCCGCTGTGTATGTGTGGGTGTTATTGTGTCACAATAGGATCTGAAGCGGCCATAACGGAATGCGCGAAGATGTTGATCCCAACGGTGGGCATCGTCGATACAGATTCCGACCCGCGTCTTATATGCTATCCCGTAGCTGGCAATGACGATTCGCCATCTTCCGTTAGCCTTTATTGCAAGTACTTCAAGACAGCGATACTTCGGGGAAAAGAACTACGAAATAAGCAAAAAACTACTCTGTTCAACGCGGAAAAGTAGAATAAAAAAGAAATTAGTTGAGCACATATATAATACGAATATGAGTAATAACAGTCGTAATAGAAAAAGGAGCTATTGAGGATTAATATAAAAGAGGAAGGGGCTGTTTAGTAACATGAATCCTTTGAAGTTTGTTGGGCTACCCCTATCGGGAAGAGAGATATGCGTCCTAATGTACGTACTATAGTTAATAAATGCTTGGGAAAGATGGTGCAATTAGGGACGCAAAGTGCAAAATCTGTGTGCTTGTATCTGGATAACGGCGGCGAAAACAGAGCTCATAATCTATCCAAAAAACGTGTTCGCTTTACTGTTATTTATTCTTAGATTAAAAAGAAATAAATGGGAAAACAGTACAACAGATTGAACGACGATTATGTAACATAAGTGTAGGTGTATTTTAAGAAATCAATAAATGTTTAGATTCAGGTTCACTTTAATATAAACGTGTTCCATCCATTATTATCGATTGAAAATTTCCTTTTTTTCCTACAGATATATATATGTGACACTGTAATGGTTGTCTTTTCTCAGTTTACTTCATAATAAACGATGTCAATAATTGTTCAATGTAGCGAGGTTTAATGTTGAAACAAGCATTTCGTATTCAGTTCTACATCTTGTTCATCTAACTAGTTCAGTTATCCACATCTGTAATAATTTATTGCCTGTATAACTCACAAAGTGCCCTCATCGCTTATTAATCAACGCAACCCTTACTTATTAACTTGACGAAGCGAAGGAGCATCGGATTTTGGCCGTATTTACAAAAACGAAGTAAGAAGCAATACTAACCTAATCAAGGTAAAAGATACGCCGACAGTAATTTGTGAAAATTCGGCAGTGGTGATGCTAACTAAAATCAATCTGACCTATGGATCTGGTTTCAATTTATGCTTTTTATACCGTAAATGTCTTGTTATTATTAATTATTTGACTTATGTCCCGATGCTCAATTCACACTTACCTAACATTTATTTTGTTCAATAGTGACTTCTACGAAGAGGTTGAATAGAGTAAAAAGCAAATATATATATATATATATATATATATATATATATTCATTTCTTTCTTCAAAACTCATTACTTGAGTCACATCAAATCACATTCAAGTATTGCAGACTTCATTTGATTGGGTGGCTTTCCAATGAATTTACGTGGGCTAACCGCTGCTGGCAAGCTGATATGTCGTTCTGCATCCATTTCATTATATTCCTAACTAACTCTCATTCTTGGTTAAGAAATTGTTTGTGTATTTCGAATACCCTACATTGAATCGTTCGCATCACTTTGATCGTTTGCCGACAGATCTATTTCTTTACATCGAAAGTGGTCCTTCATTATATTTGTTACCTCACCATTAATGTGAACCTCTCAACGTTTAAGAATTCTATTGAAAACGTCAATATAGTGGAAACTGTGCCACCACGGATATGCCCTGCAGTAGAAAAAACATGCTCTCGAATAGTTCGCCTAATATAAGGCTCATTCGTCCGACTATATTACCTATGTAAGCCTATTTATTATAAATTATTCTACCAAGATACAGCGACAGGCGGATACGAAATGCTGATAAATTCTGATACATTTTCATTTTTCTTAGTTGGGCACCATCATAGTTAAATGATTCAGGGCGTACTTTTGGATCGGGATCGAGACAAGCTGAGTTGATAGCAAGGACAGCGGCAATCAAAGCTTGGCCATTTCTGTCGCCAGAATGCATATTCGTCAACAGCAGTGTAGTAACAGCGGCAGCACGGCTACGGTTTTTATTCATCAGCTAAAACTTCTGAAGGAGTATTCCACCAGCTCCTCCTCCTCCATTGCAAATTCCAGCAAGGCCATACTCGCCGGGTTTAAGGTTGACAGCCATGTGCCCGACGATACGGGCACCTGACATTCCGATTGGATGGCCGAGAGCAACGGCACCACCATTCACGTTCACCTGTGCATGAAATTGTTTTGCTTTTGAGTCAATATCGTGGTAAATGAGGGCACAAGTGAGCACCTGTTTTTGAAACGGTATGGGCAGGCAGTCCAAGTATCTTAATGAACCTAAGAAGTATTGTTAGATGTAACATTATTTCTGACTGTCCCTATCAGTAATATAAAGTATACCTGATGACCACCTTGTATTTACAATGAATTATGGCATCATTGCCGCCATCGTCATTACCGTCATCACCACATCAAAGCGAAGACTAAGTTGAATACAAAAAGGACGTTTTTTTACCTTTGCGGGGTCAATATCGAGCTTTTTAATGGCGGCGATAGGCACACAGCTAAAGGCCTCGTTAACTTCAAACATTGAAATCTTATCCTGAGAGATGCCAGCTCGCTGAAGAACTTTCGGCATAACGAGCACAGGGGCAACGGGGAAGTCAATGGGCTCCGTTGCAGCATCAGCAAAAGCTACAATCCTTGCAAGGGGTTTAACCCCAAGAGCGACTGCCTTCGCCTCAGACATAAGCACGAGGGCTGCAGCACCATCGTTTAACGAGCTGGCATTTGCGGCCGTGACTGAACCGCCGTCTTTCTTGAATACCGCCTTGAGCAGCGGGAATTTCTCGAAGTCAGCCTTTTTACACTCATCGTCCTCGGTGACGACCGTGTCAGGCTTACCGCGTGTACCCTTAATTGTTACAGGTACGATTTCAGCGGCAAAGATACCAGTCTTTTGCGCCGCTTGAGCTCGCTCGTACGATTTCTGCGCATAAGCATCTTGCTCTTCTCGAGTAATGCCCAGGGTAGAATTTGTGTTTTCGGCACATAGACCCATATGGATTTGCTTGTATGCGTCGGTTAGTCCATCTGCTACAATCGCGTCCTAAAAGAAGAATTGCACAAGGTATAAAAAAAGCGCTTTATTTCTACTCGAGTAAGGTGAACCGTCTTTTTAAGTTCTTGTACTCCATAAGTCAGATTTAGAACAAAGCTCAGCTAATCGATATCTAATAATAATAGTACCTATGGCGACTGTTGTATAATAAAGAACCTAATTAGTCCCGCACTGTTTAAAGTAAAAGCGCTACACTTAATCAAAGCCTACGTTCTCGCCCATTGACGTCTGACCGTACACTTGCGAATATGCCCAACAAGTTACCTTCAGCGTCACACCCCCATAGGGCATTTCCCCTCGATCAAGATAGTATGGCGCATTGCTCATACTTTCCATTCCTCCAGCAACCATAATGTCGGCATTGCCAGTCATAATGTTCTGGGCAGCAAGAGCGATAGCCTTCATGCCGGAGGCGCACACCTTGTTCACGGTTGTGCAAGGAACAGACGTAGGAATCCCCGCGCCCAAACATGCCTGTCGAGCAGGTGCTTGTCCCACATTTGCCTGAAGAACGTTACCTGATCTCATGCAATAAGACAGAATTTCGTAAAAAAGTTAACAACGGTTTTAAATAGAAATTAGACAAATACCTGAGGATTCTCTAGCATTCACGCGAACCGTCAAGTACCTCAAATGTACTGTTAGATGTACAAGTCGTTATTTTTGTGGTTGTTGTCCGTTAAGAAGACCCATTAATGCTTTGGATAAAAAAATTACCATGTGGATATCTACCCTGAGCTCTTAAGACGTGCGTATAGAAATTTCATAGGCAAAATATATGTAATAAGATAATAATATACGTAAAAAACTTCATTTGACAAAATTCATAAATAGAGCTATAGATAGAGGTTGCCGTTGTTAATAATTATTATGTTTGAAACGTTTGTATTTCGTTGACCGGGAGCTTGTCATTTATTTTCAAGCGATACATCCTAGAAAAATCCCGGCAGATTACTGCGGTGCCATATCCCTGATATTAGAATGATCTACTATCATATTTAAGCGGTAAACAACAATCTATTTTGTTTATAACAAACAGAGGAAAAATCGTAAACAAAGATAATGTATCTATACATTCTTACCTATACATTTATATATTTTTATCCATGTAATTCGTCTTCCAACCCTGTCATAATATAGCCAAAGCCGCTTTTTTATAAATCTTGTATAGAACGTTTGGTATAAGCTGATAAACCTTGGCACACGGTAGAAATGGCCGCCCATAATAGATGTACCTACAGAACTGAAATTCCAATTATACCACATCTACACATTTTGCGTTCTATCGTAGCTTGAGCAAAAGCTTGCACTTATTAGGAGTGATGAATTATAGCTATTTGAAGCACCGCATGGTGCAGACATTACTTGAAATGTGTAAATAACATTTCAAATATTTTTAGTCAAGACAAAGTAGTTTTAATATTTCTATAGAATATAAAAGTAAAGGCAAGTTTAGTTTAGCATTCTTTCCATATTGATATTAAAAAAAAATTATATTAAAGCTAATGTGAAATAACGACTGCGCATGTTCAGTAATTTACATAATTGATCAAGGAAGTTTCCTTAAGGAAGGCAGGGCAAACGTCTAAAGTACACAGGGCTTCCTTCCGAAAGGAAAAATAACCGATAAACGCACACTAATAGCACCGCGAAGCAGATACGGCAGCATTATAATTACAAGAATCAACGACCGTCACAGGTTTCCTGTTTACTGGCAGAAAATCTCAACCTGCTCGTAGAATAGATGAGTTGTGCTTGTAGCATATTGCTTATTGGTATCAAAAATAAATTTTATCTACTTACTGAAGGGGCATATGATGCAACTTCAAACAAGGATTTCTATATTTTAATTTAAAAAAAAAAAAGGATAAATTATATTTTGAATTGCGTAGTACATACCCATGTACACCTCTTCGACCTGGTCAGGCTTGATTCCTGCTCTTTCGATGGCACCCTTTATAGCTAGTGCTCCGAGCTCGGGCGCTTTCAGCGAAGCCAAGGCGCCCCGAAAACTGCACACCGGAGTCCTAGCGAAAGACACGATGACAACATCCTATGACATAAAATCGCGCAATGTTGTTAGACCTTATCTTACTGATGAATCAAGCAACATGAACGCATAACTGCGCGAGAAATGAGATTCCAGAATCGTAACTATTAGCTTAATCTTGAAGACTTCACTAAAGAAATGCTTCTTGACCTGCCATATCAGTTAATTCATGCCGAAGTAGGAAGGTTTGTCTGTTAGAAGTTAGCCCATTCAAGGGTTAATTACATTCTCATATTAAAAGTTATCTAGAATCTTTTCGGCTACCTTTAACACTTTCCTGCTCCGTAAACAAGTTGTTGGGATCACCTCTTTTCAAATATAATATTAAAGGATCTATTTCACTAGATAATCTATTCCAAATTTAGATGAAAAAAATAGTAAAATTCGATAATATTAAGAAGGAGGAGCGTCTACAGGAAAGACCTACATAAACATCAAAGCCGTTACAAAAATTCTTGTGTGGAAATAGGCCGGTTCGGATTAAAGGTTAATCAAAATGGCATTAGCCTCATTATACAGATATTGCGATTGGTTGTGTTTCGTGTTATAACCTCTTTATTTAGAACGATAAAATTATTCATCTATTACTTATGTGTATTCTTACTTACAGTTTTAGCCGAATGTGACATCATGCGAAGAGTTGTGGCAAAATTCTGTAAGAGTAGAGAACGAACAAATACAATTATGTTATAGTTAAATGAAAAACGGATCAATATTTTTTAAAACACAAGGAAAATACGAACATTAGTCAAATTTATAGTGGAGAATAGTCTCCATTTCTAAAATGCCATACGAGATGAAAACATATTGCACGTGATGCGAAAATGGTAATCATTCCTGTACTGAAAGTCGGTGTTATCGCTGTAAACCCTAGCTACCACTGCAAAATGCGGTTCGCCAATCTATCCAAGGGCACACCAACAAACAAAAAGACCATTTCCATTAGCTGACACTAGTCTGCATCTGATAGCACTGTGACCGCAATTTGATATACAAAAACAGAAATCACACTGAATGCCCGGTAACCACTGCCTAGACTGAGGCAGCGCGATCGGACTGCTAATAACAGATTTGACATGTGCAAGAATGCGCCAGGTGAACCAAAAGTGAACTTGTCAAACACAGCTGGTACCTAAAAGACAGGAAAACAGGGAACCAGAGTAAGCTAGTTGTGCGAACACTGGCGTTTATCTCCTACTTTCGGTCTGCCGTGACTACTTTAATACTGACCGACGCAATACTTGATGCGTCGTTCTAACAGTAATAAAACCAACGAAACGTCACCATGCCGTGGAGAGAATGAAATATCTGCGATTGGAGTGATCACGTTGTCACTCACAACTCTCCACTGCAGCACACAAGATTTTTCGGAGCAGCCCGATTATCCGTCCAAATAAATCTCTCTTCCATCCCGCGCTTTACATAGCTGAAGCATGAACATTTTTTTCTGGGTGCGCTAAACTCCGAACAATCCTCTACTTATGTACATATAGGTAAAAATATGTAAGTCATTTAATCATTTTCTGACTTAGTTCTAAGTGTACAAAGTTCATAATTTAGTGAGTGGAAGTTACGCAGAACTAGACCAACACCATAAGCATGATCCGAATGATGTATTAGCGCTTGAGCATTTTAACACAAAAGGCTCTTCATTTTTAAATACTGAGGGCATACATCGCTTTTAAAACAACTCTGTTGTAAAGAAAGTCTAATATAGGTCCATTCCATAGAAGACCATTCACTGAACATGTGAACTAATTTGTTGAGACATAACTAATTTGTTATGAGATTAAATTAACTCTACTTTTGATAACGGACAATAAATCGAAAGTCTATGTATATATATAATAATGAATCCGTCTTTAACGTACTCAATTCTTCTTCCATTTGCACTGCATGAGCGTACACGTGTATTGTAAAAGTTGTATTTCTAGTTTCATCGGGCGCAAGTATTATACAATAATATTAATGAACTCTAATATAGTGTAACCAGTCGATTAAATTAGACACTGAAACTCAAAAAAGTATGTCTGGGCCTGGTGGGCATTATTGCAGTAACTGGAAAAAAAAGGCTAGCTGAAGTTCAACAACACCACTGTATCAAATACCCAGAGGTGGGGCTTGGTGTCCATTAAAGAGATTCACACACCAATCATCTAACAAAAAGCTTTGTTTACGATATTTACTTCGATTTGTGATTCTATGCCGTTTAGGGTAAGATTTATTCATAGGTGTTAGAGTTGAGAAATTTCACTATCGTCATCGACAGTCGCGCTACAATCAAAAGCAAAATCTGTTGAATGACCATATCTAATTGAACTGCTCAGCTGCGTAGGAGACGTATTTTTCGAAATTAGGCTCTAATATGCCGTATAAATGAATCTCTATTGGCTCTAACTGCTATGCAATATTAATGCATTCGTGATATGCCGATACTTTCATAGATCATAGGTTCCACTCATTCATCATTCTACAAGGTGCATCTGATATCTGTTTGAAAATAGGTCGTATCGTAGTTCCATATGGTATTGTACACGTAGTGTTGAACCGATTTTCTTTCTTACTCAACGTTCCTAATTGTTAACGTCTCCAACTCAGACATACCAAGGGTGCCGCTCGCAGACCTGAACATTTTAAGCGCTTTTACTAGAAAAGCTGTGGTGTTAATAATTTACTCTCTTTATATATTTTAAAGTAGCGCAGCGATCTGTTAATTTAAACAACATATCATTCCCTACGGAAAGCTACGAGACAAGTACGTCTACAACAGTCTTAATATTAGCCTAAGGCTGAATCTACTTCCCGGCAAGGCGCTTGAGTATCTGCAATAACTCCGCAACCATTTCTTGGCGCGCTCAAAATATGCATAAAATACATAAAAAAGCTACTTCCATTTAGGCATTATTATGAGACGCACAGATGTTAAAGAAATACTAGGCAAATTTATTCAAAACAAATTCGAAACATGTCACCGCGCTCTACGTGAATTAGATTATCGCATTGACACAAATGCTTAATTTCCTATACGATGCATCAATTGCTTCCAGTGCAAAACATAATGTAATTCTGTTCCTTTGTTGACTTTTTCATTTTATTTTTGCGTAGACAGATTACCGAGTGACTGCGTGGTTAGAACCCTGCCTAGAAAATACCGTTTGGCATTTTCACATTAAAGCTGACAATAATTCCGACATTTACATTGCTTTGCGTCACTAACAACTAAGAATATGGATTACTGCTCTTTAGGGATGCGACAAACAAATGACAGTAAATTAATGACGTTTTCATCTGTCTTAAGCGAAACACCATTGGCCTGAGAAATTTTAAGTTTCTTGGTATTTCTTTAAAAGGCGTCGAGACAGAACGGGAGAAGCAGAATAAGATGCAATGCTATTCAACTTCCAAGACTGTCAGATCTGTTTGTATACAGTTTAAATTTAAACTGAAACTTAGAAAAGGAGCACTAGACAACCGCAGTTATTTTGACGTGTTAGAAAACGCTCTAGCCAAAGCTTTCTTAATCATTACATCATTTACTCAGCGAAGTTTACTTGCCATCTGGGCAAGGAGAAAGCCAGCGCGATTATATATTATACATGTAATTTTTTGTTTGTATACTGGTACTCACTATTTTCGAATTTCACGCAAAATACCTAACATTTTCAGGTTATTGCTTATTTTCTTATATATGGGCTGATTCTTTGGCAAATCGTCATGAATGATTCATTACGACAGAGAGGAATCTCAAACTTTATCGAATTATTAGAACGGCATGTTGAATACAGTAATAGAACACTAACCTTTGCTACTTTTTTAAAAAAAATATTAGAAAGGTTAGAAATGAACCTCTACCAAAATGAAAAACTTCATTTTTGCCCGGAATCGATATTACGTTGTCGTCAGCTTCAACCTGATATCTGGAAAATCTGAAAAAGATGTCCACGAGGCAAACCCAAAAATCCATAGGGTTCTGATAAATTTTAATAGTTAGTTTTTGTATAAAACTTTTCTGCGTCCTTTTGCACCTTTGACTTTTTTACCGTTTTAACCTCTTGCATTTTTGGGACTCTCGGCCTGTTACCAGCCCGAAACTCACCTCCGCCGAAACTTTTTATGTGTGACATATTGGAACCACACTTTTTACAGGTTCACACCTGTCAACTTTGCTTGACGTACAATTATTTTTGAATCGTTATTTACAGGAGGGATATTTTAAAAATAACTGGTGAGTGATTTAGTTCCCGAATGAAGCTATAATCGTGGTAGTGGTCATATTGAAATTACATTTCTAGCACATAAAAATAATTTCGTTAAAATATATGTGCTTATTTCAGTATATAGTCTTTAAATATCTCATAACAAAAGCTCTATAGATATAGAAGATGTTGTATGGAACTGATCTCCTCGTACTTTCGATCGATGACTATATCATTCGTTCAGTTTAGCGAGTTCAACCACCTAGAGAGCGATCTTAGTTATCGTCGATGGCACTATTATCTGTTGAAGAATGCCGGATGGTTAGTTCCCGCCAATTTACGTTTAGCAGAGAGAGCGCTATGATAGCTTTCTTAATTCTCGACACGCTCAGTACGTAGGGCTTCCATAGACTGTGGCTTTTTGTTGTTTCATGAAACCGTATTTGTCTTCTATCATATAGAACTGTCTAGGTTGTCAGTGAATAAAAACTCAAACTAAACGCTTGCAGCAAGACACTAAAATATGTTTTAGTACTGCGTGCTTGGTAGAAAACGGCGTCGTATTCGTCGCCTATGAGACAACGGCGTCGTATTCGTCGCCTATGAGACAACTTTTCGATCTGATGTACATCTCGGCATTGCGCTGTTTAGTTTCGAATCTAGATATCGTCAAGGTCATCATAAAAATGAGGCAGAAATCAAATAAAATGAAAAAAATTCTTACTATCCTTAAATAAACTGTTCTTAAAAATTCTAAAAAATAAAAATAAGGTTTTCGGGGAATTAATTAAGGACTGAGACGGATATTCCATTTTTTCAACCGTTGATTTCGCTAAATCGATGGCTAGGTGTAATTGCAATGAGTGACTATGTGGTTATCTTGGCATGTTGTTCTCAATACACTTACTATTTTCATTATATTGGGATATATATATTATAATTGTGATCTGTACCTGTTATGATTATAACATCAAATACAGTCAGTTTGACATCTACACAATTCAGCCTAAGATTTAATCAAAAGCGGTAGTCCTCTAGCGTGTTTTAGCACAAAATCAAAGAAAAACCAACAAGATTTGCTAAGTTATATATAATGAAAGAACCTTTTGAAACTGGCGTCGATTTCGATGTGCTGTGGGCGTCTAACTCTAAATTAGACATAATAAAATGTTTATAACTGTACGTTTATGTACGGTGATTTACTGTGTTTTGGTCCAAAGTTAGGATCAACAGGATAATGCCTGTAAATAAAATCGATAAAGAATGCTTAAAAAACAAAGCTCCTTTAGATCAATTTCTTGAGCATAAGGCGGATAACTTTCAATGCGCTTGAAGAGTTATTGTCCTATGTTGTATAATGTACGATATAGAGGTGCCATATTCTGTGAGGTTTAAGAATATTACGAAGTGCTTTTAAAACATAATCTTCTACCCGATATAAGTGAGTGATATGAATTTCATACCATTTTGCCGACATCAGCCATATGTCATACGTAAGTCAATCTTGATGAGCTGTCGATTGTTGTATATGTATTTCTTATGCGAAGGCAATATTCGGGTAGAGCGGAGCCAAATTTGGAGCAACTCGACCGTCCGGCGAATAAGCCTCACGTGTGATCCGCGCTTTAGTCATGTGGAGAATATGAAAAATATTTGGAATATGTAATGGTCCTGCTAAAGAGTGATTGTTTCGATTTCAATGAACATATGAGTAGAAACAAATAAACTTAAGCTTGATTTTTGAAGATTTGACCGAGGACACTTCACGGCCACAATAACAATGTGGCGAAGTAGCTTACATCTCACTCGGAAGCAACTGCTGTACCAGAGACGAGAATTCATAAAACGGCAAAGTGAGTCGGCTTTTAAAACATATGCTTAGTATGTAACGTTCATCATAAGTGGTATGTACAATGTGCTTGATGAGAGGAACTCAGTTCATAGCTCATTGCAGCACGGAAGTTTCAAATAGCTATGAGAAGCAATATAATTAATGGGAGACGGAATACAATTATTTATATGGAAAACTTAATCTCCGCTCGGCTTTTTCTATGTGCGTGCTTTAGGCAAACGTAATATTGCAGTGTAATCAAATATAGATATTCGTGTCTGATAAAGGCCTACTGAGGGGTGAAAACTAACACTCACAGTAAGAAATATTTACAATTCAAGTGCGCTGCTGTTTCACAACTATACATCGTATGTGACATACTTTTGGTTGGTTCTCTTTGTTTGTTTGTTTGTTACGTGTTTTTACCATCGAGGCTTCCCGTCATTCATTCCACTAGATCCACCTATTGCAACATCGTGGAGCGCTCAGGCGTTTTCTACTAATTCTGCTAAAGTGATTTATCTTTTTCTGCAGATCTTCCGAATCGAGAAATACCTGTAAAGGCCGTGCCAAGATTGGCCTCTAATAGTGGTGTTGGCATTAAAAAAGCTGTCGCGTTTACCGTAGGTAGCACCTGCACGTTCTATGCAGGTGCAACGATCTACACATATGAATATCATGTGACACTACAGCAGAAACTACAGGAAAGAACACGTCTACAATGGTCCCAAATTCAGCCTAAGGCCATATCCATTCGCCGTCAGGTGAGTTTTGCTATCTGCAATGTTGGATGTGTTATTTTATAGGGACCATCTATAATCATTGTTACATGGGAATTCATTATAATAAGAGAACGAGTTATTTCTAAAATTTGTCTTACTTATGTCTTAACCAGATAACCCCTACCTATAAAGAAATTACGCTTGGGTTTAGAAAATATGCAGTGTCCGCAAAGAAATGTACTTCTTCAGCGCTTACTTTAATAGTCTATGATAAATGAACGGTCGAAATCTTACGACCAGCTATTTTTCACATGTACTCTGCATATTTCTTACTGGACTAGCAATATGGATTTGATCAGTATCGTAGTACTTTGTTATGGCCGGCACAGGCACGGACAGCAAACTCATTTGTAACGAAGGTTTTAAATAAATCGCCCGTTTTACACGATATAGGTTGCTGAACTGACGCAAGTTTCTGACTGCGTAAACGATGTCGTGATTGCTTGCAGTGCAAAGCTCAATGTGCAAGTATGCCTTTTTTTAGCTTGCCTTTTCATTTGTTTGTATTCACAGATCAACGAGTGGTGGCGAAACCAGAGCCCTGGTCACAAAGCATTTTTTGGCATTTTCGCATTAAACGCGGCAGTGCTAATCTTGTGGCATGTGCCTCAACTGGCACACATTATGCCGCGCTATTTCTGCCATTCAGTTTCATCGCGCAACGTCGTTACTATGCTTCTTTCAACATTCAGCCATTCATCGCTGTTGCACTTTGGGTGCAATATGTTCGTTCTACATAGGTAACGCGCAGTGGACAACGAGGGTGCCTACCATGCGGTACTCTTCGTGTATTTTCGTGACAGTCGCTGCTCTATTATATTATATAGTGTTATACCAACTGATCACTACAGCATTAGCACTGTCATATTTAGAATGTACTTCGAAATAGGACGTAAACACTAAACAGGCTTTTTTTGCCGTTCATAAAGGGCTGTATTTATCATGCCTGATCATCGCAAAAAAGTGTTGCCATCTAATCGTATTATACTAGTTTATAGCTTCATCAAAGTCGAGCTCCGATTCCACAACGAAATGAGGCTCTGTGTTGAGTCATTTCCTGTTTTTCATAAAGGACTTCATTAAACCGTAGTTTCATTTCGCGTAGCCATTTCTTATCGTTCAGCGCATGAGTTCTTATAAAAATGTTTAACCGTCCGCTCGCATTTTTTTGCATTTACAGTTTCAGTGACGCCATTTTAAAGATAATGGATCAACAACAGTTTGTGGCTACGTACCTCTCTTCGGGTGTCATAGCATCATTAGCAACTCATCTTCATCAAAGTTACACAAAAATACCGTGCGTATAGATTTCTCATTTTTGTCTAAAATTCAAATAAGCCAGAGCTGGTCAGCATACTTTCTGGTGGACCATGAAACTTGCAGAAGGGCGTTAGTAATATATACGTAGGTATATATACAGTGATAGCTGGCCCATAGATTCCAATATTTTGGCAGCTAACAAAGGTTAATAAAATTGGCCATTCCTATTTAAGAACGAAGCATACAAAATCTGTCCTTGTTCGCTCTTAAGCAAAACAACATTAACTTAAAAAACCCCCAAAATTACTTGTTAAGTAATTATTAAGTTTGTTTATTAAATTGTCGTGCACTTTTGCGCCGTAATATAAACGCCAGCCTGAACCGCCGGCCGCTTATCTCTTGAACCCTTTATCCAATACGAACTTGAAAACACCAATTCATATTTTAGGTAGAAAACCAATGGTATTTATTATTATAACTATTAATGCTATTATTATTCTACTGACAGTCGCAAGAATAAGAATTACGAGTTTATCATATTTCATTCAGTATGGCATCTAATTCTTCTCTAATCCTTTGTGTTTTGCACATGTCTACGTTGTATGCGCTATATGCGTACGTATAAACGTATGTATTGTATGGAACCGGCATTTTCCACTTTGGTTTCGTCGATGTAGTATACCGAGTTTAGGCGCCTCGGGAGCAATCCTGGGCATCGTCGGAATTGTCTGTGTAAGGATGCCAGACATGTCTCTGTGCCTTGTCTTTCTGCCAATGTTAACATTTAGTGCGGGCACTGCTATCAAAGCTCTGCTAGCGTTCGACACACTTGGTACGTAACGGTTTCAACACACTCTTGCATTTTAATAGTTAGAAATTTTTCGTTTTGCTTTCCTTCAAGAAGGTTTCCATATTACTTTTACGTTATATTTTTTTAAGCATATTTTTTCCCAGTGTTTAAATGCCTAGGTTATAAGTGGATATAAAAATAATGAAATTTTGAATAACGCATTCGCGGGGTCGGAAGTAGTGCGTATTAACTACAGAACCACATGGTATCTTTTGGCGAATTTATGTTTTGTGTTTTCAGGTTTATGTTTACGGTGGCGGTTTTTCGACCATGCGGCACATCTTGGCGGCGCATTATTCGGCGTTGTCTATGCAATGGGCGGTGCCAAGTTCATCATAGAACGCCAACGTCAATTTTTTGACCGATGGCGTGATTTCCGTACTAAATAGAAATAATCGTCGGAAGCTAGATATTTTTATAAGGCCAAAACTGGGAACAAAAAATAAGAAGGGGAGATAATTTTTTCCCCTTTTTTTTTGTATGATATCCTGCTGTTACTAGTAATTATTTATAAATTGAAAAGGTGTTTGAGAAATTCTTAACAAAGTAAAGTGAGTATCCCACTTTTCAATTCTCAAATGGATATTACAAAAATGAGTGGTCGTATAAAGGTCAGCGATTTGCTCTAAATGTACATGCTATATTAGTCTTAATAAAGTCGTATCTACAAAACATGATTATGGTTTTTTATCGGTGGGCGAATAACAGCAGTATAGTCTAGTTCTATCCAATCTAGATAAATTTTGCGTGTTGCCACTAAATCAATAATTTGGTTACGTGGTACCGTGTCGCTGAATGTCGGCTCGTCAACCTAACCGATCAACTAGACGTAAAAGTTAATAAGATACATTGGTGTGTTGGCCAGGTTCAATTCAAATGTCCATGGTCTAGTGCACAGAACTCCACTCAGTTCCCGTGCACGCCTGAAGCACGTGCAGGGTGCTTCAGAACTAGATATCAGCTCTTTAAATGAAATAATTGAATTTGAATCTTTTTTGAGTGAGACTTTACGACGTTAATAAATAATTTTTCAGTTAAATATCGGAATCTGTGTGAAAGTGACATGAGGGTTATTATTGAAGAAAATAGGCGACTATGCAACTAACGCTATTTCAATGGAGGAGTTTTTAAACCTGAAATTTCGTAACTGAATTCCGGCATAATGTTCGATTTAACGCGAGAAGACCACGCTGCAATACTTTGCAACTAAGCCTTGTTTCAACACTTCGCCAGCGTTATTTATTGGCGTTTGGTGGCGCCAAACAAGAGAGCGGACTTGAACGACGACACGGACCCCGTTATATGTCTTCGACTACAACAAAACGTTTCCGAATACTTAAATTTCGAACCTAAAAAAATACGCGTGATGCAACTAAGATATACATTAGTTTATTCTTCAACTATTAATTCCTTTATTCCACTACGGTGAGATGGGCATGTAAAGGAGGAATGTAGTTTGCGTTTTTACCTGATAATCGAAGCAGAGTTTTTAACACACTCACTTATTTCCAGAAATGACGTGGTTGTTGCCATAAAATGAATAGAGACGCACTATGTGCCATTGGAAAAATATTCTCTCACCTAGTTCTGTTAATTCCTCAACAAAACTGATATCTAGCTTTTAAGATAACCTGTATAATAAACGACACAGCAGGCTGTATAAATACAGCCTGCTGTGTCGCCTACCGCGGCTGTCTTTATTTTCTGAAGAACAATGTAAAATAATGAATTTTTATGTTGAATTAGAATAACTTTATCTGAACTCGTACATAAATTCCCGTTCTTTAAGGCATTTGCCGAAGCTTCGATATTTTATTGCAATTTGGCCTCAGTCGATGATACGCTAAGTACCGCAGGCTGTATTGAAGGGTTTCTTTGTCATTCACGTGGGATAGACATTTTCGGCGCAACTGGCGCAGATTAGAATTAAGCTTTGAAGAACGATTTCTTCGGGGCGTAAGGGTCTCAGGTGCGTGGCCTTTTAGGGTAGTCTGTGATACCTTCGGTCTAACGAGTATACATGTCGCTGCCAAGGTTGAATGATATATGTTGCCAGGCATATTATTATGTCAGCGTGACAAACCAGGTATTTAAATGTGTTAACCAAACTTGTTAGGCTTTCTCTTTATAATTATATTATGTTAAGGCAATACTCATATAGTGCGTAATATTTACAGGTCGACACATCCAACAAATAAGATTTAGTTGTGGTCTGAGCTTTACGTAAATGGATGATGTGGAAGGTGTTCGAAATATGTTATGGACCTGCTAAACACCGAATGCCCTGTCAACTCAAGATAAAAATCTTTAGTATTAAAAGAAAAAGTGACATATAACATAAATACTTAAAAATATTTGAATAGGCTTAGCAACCTGCATGAAAATAGATTGCCGATCTGCTTTGTTCCGACTGCTCGAGGTGACCGTATGCTTCGACTACTTTGTGGAGCAGAATACTTCTCTTTTTTGGATGATTGTGAGTGGCAACTTCGTTATTATTCCAATGCGAACACATTGAATTCTCGTTGGTTCCGTTGGTTAGAGAGAAGTGGGAAATTTAGCTTTTACTTTTTAAATGGCACGGTCGTACTACGATTTTCCTTGTTAAAGCAACTGTGTGGCAAAGTAGCGGCAAAGCAGCTTATAACTTGTCCGAAAGCAACCGTTCCAGCAGAAAGGTGAATACTTAAAATGATGAAGTGAGTCAACTTTTAGAAGCTAATCATTCGTAGAATCTGTCGAACAGCTTGTTAAGATAAGAACTCCGCTCGTCAGGTAGTCATTTTCTAGATATCTTAACCAAAGCTTCAAATGGTTGTAAACAACACGTAGTTGGTTTCAGGCGCAATAATGCCATATTTACATAGAAAAATTACACTTCTTTCACGAACTTACATTTCCGTGTGGGGTATACTAATGTAAAAGTTGTATGGTGTAGTTTAATTAAGCGTGGGTACTACCAACTCAACTAATAAGCTTTGGCGATGTGTTAAATCTAGCGTTCATGTTTCGAACCTATGTCATGTGGAGTAAAAATACTAATAAGTACTGAGTTGAGAGTTTCTACTACCGCTGCCAGTCGTGCTGAATGATTATTTTTGCTGGAAATGCTGTACTCTTTGAATGTAAATTTTAAGATCAATTTTCATTAAAATTAATTTGATAATTTTAATAAAATTAATTAATTTTTAATTAAATTAAAATAAATTAATTTTCAGGCTAAGCCGTTTCACAATTGTATGTCATGCCTGAATTAATTTGGTTTTTTATTGCTACATATGTGCTATGTCAGTGTAGTACCTGCGCAACCCATAGCCTGGATGATTCATACTTTTACTTGTGCCTAATATTATCCTGAGGATAAAGACCATAAAGTTTTTAGATATTGTTATGTGTTAGCTTCGCTAAACGGATGTATCTCTTAGCTTCCCTTAAACGCTCCTAATCACGAAGGCCCTGTGCATGCCATTCCAGAATTGTCTCCTGAAAGCGGCATTTGACCTGGAAAAGCTACCGCGTTTACAGTGGGCGTTACCTGCGCGTTCTACGCGAGCGCAGCAATATATATGTTTGAACAGTTTGTTTTTCCACGCAAAAATATGAGCAAAAGTCACATACGAAGGGCCTCCATAGAAAGTGAATGACGCATTTCAGCACAGGGCTGGATCTATTCGCTGTCAAGTGAGTTCGAGTGAATATATATAGGTTTTGAGCAATTACAGTGTGCTCTAGGCGCAAGATCAGTGAACTTTACGGGCAAACCTTCCCTTAGTTTTTCCAGTTTAGTCATACTTATGTTCGATCTTTTATGCAACATCAACTGCTGTTGCATTGTTTTTATGTATGTATTGCTCGTAAACTTCATATTAATTTATACAGGGTTTTAGTTCGCTTTGGCTAAACTTCAGTTGACTTGAACATGACACGATCACAACCTATTTATGCATTTGCAGAAGCAATTTTGCTAGCTAACATAAAAAGAATACAAATACATTTAGAGTTCAAGGTATGCACGTTAAGTGAACACGTGCTTTAATGAAGTACTGCGTCGCGTTGTCACAAATTTTTAATTATCCAAATGATACGCTAATTGCTAGCTAAGCAAAGCACAATAAGTAATTTTCAGCCTGGCGTTCCCATTCTTTTTGTTCAAAGATTTAATGATGGTGGTGACGCCACAACCTTGGTCACAAAAATTTTTTTGAGACTTCCGCGGTCGATATTTCTCGATTGATACACATTTTCAGCAGTATTTTTGCCCCTCAGTTTCATCGCCTAACAGGGGTATGTATTGCTCTTAATATTCAGCCGTATGTCGACTTTACACTTTGGGTGCGACAGATCCGCCCCACAGGTTGCATTCACTAATAAAACAAATGTGTTCCTGCCAATTGGTACTTTGCTATACACACCACATACTATGGTTTTGTTATTGTCCGCTGTAGATCATACTTCGGAGCGCGGTTATATGAAAGCTTAAAGTTTATTAAGCAAAGAATATATGAGTCCTCAAAGAAAATGTACAGACATTTCAAATCATCTGCCTTCGTTTTTTCGTATTCGTCTGTGAAACAGTTTCAGTGATACCATCATAAAATTGATGGGTTAGCAACGATTTGTTACTACATAGCTCTCCTAAGGCGTCACAGCATCGTTGACATTGCGGCTCAAACAGGATTTCATAGAAAACAGTCGTGTTTTCATACGTTTTCCAGTTTTAATTTATACTAGAATCAGTTACGGCCGGCAATTGAATCGTCTTATCGGCCATGATACGTATGAAAGCACTCCATCATCGTATGCTGATAAATAACTTTCTAATCTCAATGTCTGCGTAGCTGTTAATAGCTAAGGAAAATAAGGGGACAAATCGGGTATCCGGGAAACGAACACATGTCCGAGAAACGTTTCTCTGAGATTTAAGCAAGACATAATTAATTAGTTTGATATTACTTATTATCTCTTTAAACAATCCATTCCCGTTTCATAAAGCATATTCGAGAACAAATCGATCGAGGAGACCTAAATCGGTGAAACTATCACATAGGAATCCGTATATATAGAAAACGTGCTAGAACATGTATACATGATTAGGCAAAACAGTATTATCAATACTGAAATAGTCAATAAAAGTAGGCTGATACTGAGTTGAAACCCTCATGTTTGATATTTTCCCAAATGAAGACACATCTGGAAGCTAAAACTCGATGGCTGTCGATGCCAAAAAAGCAAGATCCTATTTCGATATACATATTAGCTTAGGTGCAAGCACAACAAGTACGAAAACTTAAAGCCCTCATAGCCGCACAGTGTGTGTGCTCGAACCCGGTTCTACCCATCCAAAGGTGTAGGGCAACATGTTAAGGCATCCTTAACAATTGAGAAACTATTACAACAAGGCCACGATTCAATACGGTCATCACTTTACTGGATAGCCCTTGCTTAAGGTGACCGCTGAATATAATGCCGTTAGTCGAGAGAGCTACCTGCTAACCGTATAAGTGCAGGTAGAGTTGGCATGATGCACGTGCCGGCAAATGTATGCGTGTATGAACCGTGCAGGTTAATGACCGTGGCAGGAAGGGCACAGGAGCGCCGTCGGATGGTAGCCGTTGAATTAAGAGATGGATCCAGGGAGAACACACTGGTATACGCGCTAAGTCGCCTATAATGCTTTATATGCTTC